TTCATAATGCATGTTATGAGGAAAAAAGGTGTTCAGATCAGACGACTAAAGGAAGTATAAATTTTTACTTCTTCCAGCATTGGCATATGGCCTCGAAAACTCTAGCCGAGGAAGCAGCCTGGAAATTTGCAAAAGCAAATGGGATCGACTTGGTTGTTCTTAATCCTGGATTTATGTTCGGTCCTCTTTTACAGCCTGCCCTAAACGCCACTTCGGATGTGGTTATAGGCTTCACAAAAGGTACCCTTTTCAATGGTAACATAGCTGTTGATGGTAAACACTTTTCCTGGTCGAGAGTCGTGGTCGATAATTATATGAGATGGGGGCTTTCTCTCTTACAGGAGAAAACACTTTTCCTAGTTCAACTTATTGGCTTGTTGATGTTCGGGACGTTGCATATGCGCGTATTCAAGCATTTGAGGTTCCTTCAGCTGCCGGTAGATATTGCCTAGTGCAACAAGTTGCTCCGTTTCAGGAGATTCTGAAGACCTTGAATCAACTTTATCCTACTTTGGGCCTTCAATCAAAGTAAGCAAAACTGAGTTATCTTGCTGTTTATGCCATCAGTTGCCAAATGGTAATAAAAGTGGTGTCTTGTTTAATTCATGGCAGATGTGAAGAAGATGGCAAGCCTGTTGAGCGTATCTTCAAGGTATCCCAGGAGAAAGCAAGAAGTTTGGGTGTCAGCTTCATTCCTTGGGAATTGGGTCTGAGGGAAATTATCGAAAGCTTGAAGGAGAAAGGCTTCTTAAGCATCTGAAATTGTTATAACTTCATTTTAATGCTTCATCTTGCTGTGAACATGTTGTTTCTACTATGTACTGAATTTCAAGCATTTGGGTCTTTACTTCTGTTTTTGTTTATCCGGTTGAACCAAATGTTATATATAATAAATGAATTCAGTACTGTGTATGGTTGATAATGTTAAGTTTGCTTTCTGAAAGTGAATAACCATCTTGTTTTCATCCATGGGAAAGCAACACTAATGGCTAATTCAATCGCCTTTACTTCAAAAAAAAAAAAAAACTTGGATCATTTTTGTATATTAAACAGTACCTTTGATTATCTATATTTCTGAAGGAATTGAAGCCGTTTTCCCAAGTGCCTAGCAGTTCGACTATAACTATCTATCTGCATTTAGGCTAAAGGAGCAGAACCTTTGGCAAGAGCTAGCATGGCAGCTATTATACAAATAGTTTACATGGGTGCATTGCCAGTAGCAGCGACAGTTTTAGCAGCAACAGTAACCGTTCACTATGGAGCGATGAAGTTCTCGCTGGTCACGGAGTGTCGATGTCGTTGGATGACCAAGAGGGAGCCCTTCATATTCATTTCTGCAGATGCCAAGAGATCGCCGATGGAGCCAAGCTCCGGACACTCCTCCCAATCGCTTAAACCAGTCGTCAAGGGGCAATTCCTTCTTCCTCCTTTGCCTACTATCACCAATGAGTACATTTCATCCATTATCTCTCTTAGAGCCGCTAATGTCTCTGCCACATTGCTCACATGCTTCTCAACCAGACTGGCTTTACCCTGAGCGACAAATCGGTTATAAAATGTGTCGACAAAGGCGTTGTCGATCTCATTCTCTGCCCCGGCGGTCGATATTGCCATGATCACCTCCTCATCCTTTTGTGAAGCATTGTTAATCCAAGAATTGTGTCTTGTATTGGTTTGTATGAAGCGGAACACTGTTAGATTAACTTGACTGTGCATCAACATTCTCTTGCTGCATGCTAAAGCCTCACGATCATCAGGGCCGCCGAAGAAGAACGTCGCTATGTTTTGCACAGTGGGAGAGCCGTGTGGTTGCTGGAATCCAGTCTGTCCACGGTCGATAAAGATTCCGACCGAACATGGTGCATCTCGGATAACCTTGTGGTTTATAGTCCTTATTTCCTCCATGCTGTTTTCCATTTTCCCATCAATTCTTTGGTGCTTATGGAACGGAAGGAATATAATAGACACACGCAAATCCTTAGCACATTCGCATACATCTTGGTCTATGCTTAGAAGGGACGATACAATCTTTGACTGGTGGACCAAGATTTTGGTTTCGGAAATGAAGGGGTCGAGAGCGTCGCTGATCTCGATGACATCGTTTCCACCATAGTCTTCCTCGTCGCTGTATTGATCGCCGTCTTCCAGTTGATGGTACATCAATTTGCTTCTCCTTTTCTTAGGAAGCTCCACCAGGTGCACCAGGTAGGGCTTGATTGGCGCGTTCCTACAGCCGCTCAATGCTGAGATTAGGCTAACGTGCCCTGAAACATGGCGTGGGATGTATACACAAGCCAGTACACGAAGCTCGCTCTCCGGATTAAGTATTTCTAGCGTGGTTGGATGATGAGAAAAACACTCGTCTCTGTTCAACAAAATCGCAACCATCGGTGCTATGATCAATGTGTTGAGAATCACGACGCTGACAAACAAATCGTGAATGTCTCCTTCCCACAGCTTCTGCAACAATCAAGCAACAGAAAATCAGCTATCAAATGCATATACTATGATGAACAAGGTGAAAGTAGAGAGAATCGGGAACTTTACACCGTGTACAGGAGGAGTGTTGATGAGTATAAGGTCGTAATTGCCTTTCATGTTGAGTAATAAAGAAAGGATGAGAGACTCGTTCCTCGGGATCTTGAGGTAATAACAAGCGGCGAGTGTGCCGGCGATTCGCGTGCCGGCACAGAGGACGATGATGATGGTGGCAAGAACAACAGTCAGTTTATTGAAGACACTGCTTATATTGAACTGGAATCCGGCGTAGCCGAAGTAGACCGGAAGAATGAATGTATTGACGGCGTAAGTAATTTTATGAAGCAATGTCCGATACGTTTTGCATTCCCTAGGGAACGTGAGGCCTACCAGGAAACAACATGTTATCGATGTGAAGCCAGTGTTTTCCAAGAACGCAGACGCACTCGTAAGAAGGAACATGATGATGAAGATTTCACTGTTGGTGACAAATCTATTATGTCGGTTCCTCTTGTTGAAAAACAAGGACAAATACTTGTTGACAAAGATGACTGCCACGGTAACAAAAGTGCCAAGCATTGCAGTCTTGAATTGAAAGGAGGACGTGAAGGCCGTTACTGTAGATACGATCACCACGCAGAACATCTCGTTAAGGAGGGAAGCGTATATTGCCAGCCGGCCTAAATCAGCGGTGTCGGACTTGGTTTCTGCAATCATCCGAAGGACTACCGGAGAGGCCGAATTTGCCAAGACGGTAAAAATGAGAAGGTAGAACGTGAGGCGGTTTTCAACCACTCTGAACACCTTGATAAGCAACCACAAGAGAGGTCCGGCAAAGATGAAGGACAAGAAGAAACCCCCTCCGGCAACGATACTCACAACACGAAAATTGCGCTTCAAATAAGGAATATCAGTTTCCAACCCGATGGAGAACATGAACAGCATCCGACACAAGAAAGAGAAGAACATGTAGTATTCTGCAGAAGAAGCCTGGATGAAGAAATCCTTAACTTTGCTTATCCGAGACAACAATGTCGGGCCGACAACAACACCAGCCTGCATGTACACAACAACTACATCATTCACATATTATACATATAACATATACATATGTAAATGGAGTTGAATGGCTCACCAGAAGTTGTGCAAAAGGACCAGGTTGCCCCAAGGGTTTCAAGAGGATGTGAAAGATATGAGAAGTGACGAGGATGCAGGAGACCTGGAAGCTGCTTGTGACCCAAGGGTTGAACGAGTCACCTGATTGACACATTAAATTCTCTGTTCCTTCCATCTTGTTTTTGATCTTTTGTTTACCACAACAACAATGGCTGCTGCTCTACCAGGTTGAACACAGAGGTTTCAAGGAACAAGAAAGAAAGAAAGTCAGGCTGATTCTCTTCTCTTCTCCAACCCAACCCTCTCTCTTTCTGTCTCCTTGTTCCGGAAGATTTGGTCATATAAAAGCGGAGGTCTGTTTAACTTTGCTTTTTATATATCGGAGATTTTGTACAACCATATCATATACACAACACCTAACTCATCATTCATCCTATAAATAGATTCACAATAACAAATTATACGTGCATGTGAGTTAATAAAAGATTACATGAAAACCACGCACGTTCATGTCAACGGTCTAAACTTTTCCAATTTTGTAACATGATCGTTATACAAACACAACAATAAACTAAACATATTACTTCTAATTTGATCAATCAGATATATCCGAACAAGACATGTTACATTCAATAATAATTTTTTTTTAAAACTTTTTGTGGTATTTTTAAAACAATAAAAAGACAAAAATAACAAATCAACACAAGTATTAAATCATTCCTCAAAATCCTTTAACTCTCGTTCTAAAATGGTGAAAAGACAAAAACAAGGAAAGATAAAAAAAATGTTAATTAGATGGTTAAAATTTGTGAGATGATTTTAAAACTTTGATATAAAAATGAAAATAAGAAATAAATATTCTTTGTGAATCTTATATGACAAAAAATAAATAAATATTTAGAATTCAATCCTAGACAATTCTTTTCCTTGCTTTCATTGAAAAAGAAAAAACTAAGATGGGACAAGTATAGATCGCTGTACATATTTTGGACAAGCATAGAATCTAAGATTGCAAGGCAGCTAACCATTTTAAAACTACACATAAACTGGAATCATAGTGTATTCACATTAAACAACACATTTTCTACACTACCTACCTTTTAGGTTAACCAACAGTAGCAGTTCCAAGAGAATACCAGGGAAAACTACAGAAACTCGAATCGTAAAGTATACACATTATAGAACACAATTCAATAGCAAGCTCCAACTGAAAGCCAAATCACATGCCGAGATTTCGTCTTGTGGCTTCCATTTTCAAAAAGATCTTAATGTCCGCTTCCATTCTTGTCTTCATACTGTATTCCTTGTAAACTCTTTCTAGAGATTGGAATTCTTCACCAGGGAAAACTACAGAAACTCGAATCGTAAAGTATACACATTATAGAACACAATTCAATAGCAAGCTCCAACTGAAAGCCAAATCACATGCCGAGATTTCGTCTTGTGGCTTCCATTTTCAACAAAAGATCTTTAATGTCCGCTTCCATTCTTGTCTTCATACTGTAGTATTCCTTGTAAACTCTTTCTAGAGATTGGAATTCTTCAAACTTTTGTTTGTGTGTTGCTTCCGCCTCGGCCAAGCGTAGTTTTGCGACTCTACTCCTGTACTCTTCTTCAATCTTTTCATCCTTTGCCATTGCGATTCGTTTCAGGCCTTCTGCTTCTTTTCTTGCATCATCGGCACGTGTTTGGTACATTTTGGCTTCCTCCTGTTTGATTCTAACGAAGCTCTCCAGTTCAGGTAGAAATAGTTGCTTTTCAGCACTCCTCTGCAGCTCTGGCTCTAAAGAGCATTTGTCAGGTCGGTCAACACGGAAACTAGGAAGCTGGCTAGATGATCTTTCCAATTGAGGAGCTTTATCAGAATAAACAGATTTGAGATGTGTAGCGTCCTGACTTGGCCCAGCTATAGTATCGATTCCTTTGCCTTGTTCTTTTCCAGACAAAACAGTTGCATTGCCAGGCTTGAAAGAATGACCATCTGCAACCAGAACAAAAGATATGGGTTTTGGGTTTAATGGTATTGTCACTTAGTAATTCAATTCCAGTACAGTAATCAGAACGATTACTAAATAATTTATATCTAGCTTCTAGATAGATGCTGCTTACAAATGCCCTAACCCTAAGGTGCTAGTTCGTTCGAGTAATTTTCTGGTATTGCTATAACAAAAGATATGGGTTTTAGGTTTAATGGCATTGTCTCGGTAGTTCAATTTCAGTGCAGTAATCAGAACGATAACTACATAATTTATACCTGGCTTCTAGTTAGATATTGCTAACAAATGCCCTAAGGTGCTAGTTAGTTCAAGTAACTTACCATTCAGGAAGCCCATTATTTGACTAAAAAGCTCAGGAAGGTCCAACTTATTCGTCGCCAATCTAACAAGCATTTGATCAACGAGATTATGCAGCTGTTTGCCTCTCACATCTTTGCTGCCACAAAATATCCTCTTGACATATTCAAGTTCCTTGGAAAAGGTTTCAAGCGTCCAATCCTTTGCAAAATTCTGAAAAACCTCCTTTACAAAGCCAAACATCTCAGAAGGGTGATCACAGGCAACACAATGAAACTGCATCTCAGCTGCACCATGTCCATTCCTAATATGAGCTTTCCTTAAGCCACAATCCGCATGACACCAATGAAGACACACATCACAACCAACCCAACTACAAGTATTGGATGCCATGTCAAATTTTGAACATACGAGACACATGCAAGCGCTGCAAAAACCATTCTTCTTAGAACAAACCTTGCAATCACATTCATCCACAGGCAGAGAACTTCGGCATGTAAGAGTACGGCATCTTAAGTTCAGAAAGACCTCAGCCAAATCAGAAGATGAAACACTATTGTCCAACTGAAGATACTCAGGAAGACCAGTTTTCAGGGCAGCCAAGATTTCCAATTGAGCCCGATGACATTTTAGCAGCATTTCCAGTGTTAAATCAGATCTGCTCTGTAGGGCCTCCTGAAATGCACGCAGCTCTCCATGCTTACCTGCATTTAACATAATCTCACGTGTGCTCTCTTTTAGAGAGGCAATTGATTGTCCTGTCATTTCATGACACTTCCTAGCCATAAGATGGATAGGCTCAAAAGCCATCCTGCACAATATAGTCTCAACAAAATCAGCTCCGCCAATCAGAATTTGTTCTTGCTCTTTTTGGCTACTGCTCCTATATAGGCTATCACCATGCCTCTCTCTTGGGGTTTGCTTCTTGCCATAACTGTGAAATGAACCATTTTGGTGAGACCTAAAACTCTGTGAAGTGGACCTGACATCATTCTGTTTATGAAAACTCAACTGCCTCTCAAATCCATTGGGCGCCTTCGAGCTTCCTTCAAAACTGTGAATATTTTGTGTTTGAATAGCCTGACTGTTTGTAGTGCCCTGTAATGCTGAAGATTGACTGAAAGACCCACTACCATTCCTCAAAATCCTCTGAAACATAGGAACATCTTTCTTCCTGGACTCATTCTGAGACTGCCATGATCCTTGAGAAAGTTGATCAACTCCCTGAAGTATGGGACGACTGTGAACAGATTGTTCATTGTTATCCATGGAATTCTGATTCAAAGAACAACTCGGATTATGGTAAAATGACTGGGAACCTGAAAAGGACATGGATGCAGTAAAATCATCAGAGGTTGTATGAAATGTGTTCGTTAAGGACTGCACACTCCTCCCGTGGGTAGGCGAGCCAGGAACTGCATCCGTATGTTGAGCACCAATAGGCAACAACACATTTGGCAAACTAAGAGAAAGATCAAGTGATTCCAACACCAGCTTATCTTCTTTCTGCTTATCGGCACCCGATTTTTCTTCCTTTTCCACTCTCCTAGCAGGAGAGTAAGAGAACAACTCAAAACCCTTCGTACCTGGCCTTTCCATGTCAAGATCTTCATCTTTAGCTTCCCTTTCAGTCCAAACCCCGTTCTCTACAGAATCAGTTACATTAGCCGATTCAACAGCAACCCCTTTACATTTATCCGTGACATTCCAACTCAAACCCATCTCTAACTCGTCAATATTAATTTTATGTTTACTATTTTCCTTTGCAACTCCCTTAATAAAATTTGCTGCCTCACATTCCTCAACCTGCCTCTCAAGATCAATCCCTTTATCCACCTTACACCTCTCTTCCAGACAGGATGACATCTGCACAACTGCACCTTTGCTACTATCTTCCTCACATTTAACATCGGCATTCACACCTTCTTCCTGCATTTCAACTTCTTCACCATCCACACCATCTATCTTATCCCCATTACCACTATTACCACCATTTAAACTCTTTCCACAATCTGGCAACTCATCATCTACTTTCCCCTCACCCTTTCTTTCATCCCTCCTCTCCTTATGAACATCCTCCTCAATCTCCACATTTGAATGCATGTAACCTGCATCATTCTCTGTTTCTTTATGACAACACTCTTTCCCATCACTTCTAACCCCATATTCAGAAGCCAGTTCATGTCGAGGCTCAGCCTGAGGTTCAGTTGCTAATTCATGTTGAGGCACAGTCTGAGGTTCAGTAGCTAATTCATGTTGAGGCACAGTCTGAGGTTCAGTAGCTAATTCATGTTGAGGCACAGTCTGAGGTTCAGTAGCTAATTCATGTCGAATCTTATCCTGAGGTTCAGTAGCTGATTCATGTTGAGGCTCAGCATGAGTTTCAGTAGCTGATTCATGTTGAGGCTCAGCCTGAGGTTCAGTAGATGATTCATGTTGAGGCTCAGCCTGAGGTTCAGTAGCTGATTCATGAGGTTCAATAGCTGATTCATGTTGAGGCTCAGCCCGAGGTTCAGTAGCTAATTCATGTTGAGGCTCAGCCCGAGGTTCAGCAGCTGATTCATATTGAGGCTCAGCCTGAGGTTCAGTAGCCGATTCATGTTGAGGCTCAGCCTGAGGTTCAATAGCTGATTCATGTTCTGGCTTAGCTTGAGGTTCAGGATCAAACTCACCTTCCTCCATCTCACTGCTAGTATCAGTCTCCACCAGTTTTTCCTCACTCTTCTTCACCTCTCCACCACCACCATCATCAACACTCTTAGACTGCTCACTGCCAGAATCCCTTGACTTCGACTTGGAGCTTCTCCTCCTCATTTCCTCCCTCTCCCTCGACTCGCCAACCATTCTCCCTGCTACCAAAGAATCCCTCGACCAACTTGGCGAATTCACATCCCTGACCTCCCTTAGTTGCACCTTACTAATACTTCCTTTGTGCTCGTTAATTCCAAACCTTTGCCATGAGCTCCCACTTTCGCCTCGGGTTCGATCTCTCTCTGATCGGAACCCCTTTGGAAAATCTCTACGAGGCCCACGGAAGCTCTCTGATCTGCGGAGACAACCACTACTACTACCACTCTCTCTGTAACGATTAAACTCTAATTTTCGCCTATCGAAGCTCTCAAAATCATGCTCAGTTCGCTTCCGGACCATCCTCTCCCTGCCGCTATCCTCATCAGCCCCGGATTGTTCTCGATCATACCGAGAAGAAGAAGAAGAAGAAATCAAATTGCTTTTGGTGCGGGCGTTGCTATCGGAGGCTGAAGATGGCTTGTAGTAAAAGCCGCTGCTACTGCTGCTCCGAGATGATCGATTCGGATCCTGACTCCGTTCTTTGCTTGCATTTTTCTCATATGAATCGAGATCGGTGCTCGATCTCAACCGCTTCATGTTTTCTGTAGATAAAAATAAAAAAAACACCTTCCCCCAAATCAAAAGAAAAAACAAGCTGTTAACAACCACACGATAGTTGATATAGAGATAGAAACCCTAGTTTAGACTGAGAAAGGAAAATACCGAAGCTTTGCATGCAAATACCTGGAGGATTGCTGAAATTGACACCAAATTCACCGAATCTCACAATGTTCGCAGGGAGACATCCGTTGTTTCATTTTCGAGAAGAAAGAGTTATACAATAAGAAATAAATAAATATGAAAAGGAAGCCACCAAAACCAAATACCTCAAAATCTGGGTGAAGTTAAATTGAAATTAAAGGGAGAATTGTAAGAATCCTGACTAGGAAAACCCTAATTTTTTAGATAGCGGAACCGGAAAGGGGAGAGGGGAAGAGAGGAAAGGAGGGGGAATTCAAGAAGGATGTAGTTGTATTTTGATTTTGGCGGGGTATAATGGAAAATATTTGGATTTGTAGGGGTATAATTGTAAATATAATTCGGATGACAAAAAAGGAATTTTCTTCTCAGCCAAGTCAACTACAAGAGACAGTTTGTTTTGGATTCTGGGATGGATTCGCCAATGGCAAGCACACTGCATGATTTGCTTCAAATTCTACTTTTACTAGGGATTAATTGTGCTTTCACTACTTATATTCTTCAATTATTTAAAATATAGTTCTTTAACCTTTAATTCCATTATTTTAATACTTCTTTCTTTGGACTACAAATCGAATTGATAATTATTTTATATGGCATATTTAAGAAATGATTTTACTCACATGACTAATTTAAATTTGCATGGAAGTATTGTAAGCATATAACACTAGGATAAATTATGTTTTCCATCACTCAGCTTTGACGATATTTTTATTTGAATCACTATATTTTTAAATTGTTTCATTTTTTAATCACTCTCAGGTGTTAAATTAAAAATAAAAAAAATGATGTAACATGTTTTGTTGATATGGACCGTTTTTTGTTGGGATTAAAGCCATCTCATTTTTTAAGATAAATTATGTATTTAGTAGTAAAACTGAGCTTTCATTTTTTTAAAAATTATACCTAATGTTTAGTTTTTGTTTTATTTTAGTATCACGTCATTAAAAATTTAATGTGTTTAGTACCTAAACTATAAGTTTTGGTCCATTCTAGTACCTAACAAGAAGTTTTTGTCCATTTTAGTACCTAAAATTTCAAAAAAAATCAAAACTTAAGATTAAATTTTGAGTGGACTACTAAAATGAAACAAAAATTAAAATTTAGGTATGATTTTGAAAAAAAATAAAAGTTTAGGTACTAAAATAGACCAAAACTTATAATTTAAATATTAAATGTGTAATTTACTCTTTTTATTTAATCATCTTTTCAACAATTTTGAAACTATAGAGTTTCATCTCATTTCACATCAATATCTTCATTATGTAATATTTTCTTTAGTCACTACAGACACCGATAAAATGATTTCACCGTCTCCTACCACTATCAATTGGGATATTTTTAACTATTAAAATTAGTGAAATTTTAACCTAAAATCTAAAAAAACATCACTCCAATTTAAAATCTCCATCATTCAATTATCATGAAAATCAAGATATATTATGTGTCTCATCTTTCTCTATCTCCCCACCATTAAACCTTTGAGGAAAATAGATTTTAAAAAAAAATTAAAAGTCTAACAAATTTGTAGTGGCATTAAATAATTAACATGGAGTGAAAAAAAAAACAATAAACTTGAAGAAACAAACAATTGAGCCACTATAGTTGAGTAATCAAAGTATCATCTTACCAAATCCAACAGTTCATTGTGCAAATGTCATAAAATTGAAAGACGGCCATGAAAAGGAAATTTTAATAAACATCTTTGAGAAACATAGAGAGAAAGCGCTCCATTTCATCCTTCTTCAAGGCCAAGCCAACCTCAACCCCCTTGTTCAACTCTCTACTTTCGGCCATGGAAATAGCTTCATTTCTATCAATGGAAACAACCACTACTTTCCACGGCGTTCCCCACCCGAAATCGGTCCCGTAAAGATCGAACCTAGGTGATCCGGCAACCGTAATCATTTGTACAGACCCTGCTGGCTCTTTAGTTATTTCCAATAAGTGTGCCAGCCTATTTTCTGCTCCTTGGAGTACCCCTTTCTCTGTTAATCCCTTCACCATCTTGCTTAATTTTTCTGCGGCAAATTCGAACCCGCTTTCGAAATCCATGTAACTTCCTGCCTTGGAATAATCCACTAGAACGGCATTACAGTTTCCGAAATAGTTTTCTGGGACTGGTGGGTTACATCGAGGCCTGCAATCAGCTGTGAATCCGAGAAAAACGATTCTATCACCTGCTCCACCTCTTGCTTTGACTATGCAACTAGTTATGTAACCAAGTGTGAGCACGAAAGGTGATAAATGAAGATGGTTTGAACCATCAGATGATTTCGACAATACCCTTTGTCTCATTTTCTTGAAATCTTCGGGAGAAATGGTGACTGTGGCTCGAACTAGATCAGAGGCTGCTCCTTTGTTAGTTGAGATCTTCAAGCTTTTATTACCATTAGTTCTTGTTAGCCACTGGTTCAAATACAACATTTCAAGGTCGAACCCTGTGGGATCCTTGATCACGTTCCGATCAAAAACTGGGGTTAGTTCCGGTGGCAACGGAGAGTTCTTTGTATTCCCTTGCTTGCAATGATAAGCCCACGATTTCATAAACATGGTTGTGGTTTTACCATCGAGAACCATATGGTGAGCTGTGATTCCGATGGAGAAACCTTTACCGGGAAAAAGGGTTATTTGAAGAGCTAAAGCTGATGCATAATCGTCCGACGATACCAACCGGGGTATCAAAGGATGCAACTCCAGAGCTTCGAATACTCCGTTGCCGGTGAGACGGTGGAAGTCGTCATCAGACTCGGCAACCGTGAGCGAAACCCCGTTGTTTCGGGTGTAGGAAATGAAGGGTTTGGGGGCATTCGACGGCCACATGAGGTTGCCGGCGAGGGGGAGGAAATGATGGAGCGTCAGGGAAAGAGATTGCTTGAGGTTGGGGAGGATATGGGAACTGAAATCAGCAGGGGTTAAATCGTTAAGGCTGTAAAAGAAGAGACGCTCAACTGGTGCCATTGTGAACCAGAAAGTGTCGAAGAAAGTGAACGGAAGGGAGGATTCAACGGCGGAGATTGGTTCGATTTGGGCAGTCTCGAGGATTTTCACAGCAGAGGAAGATGCCATGGCACAAATTTTCCGTGTCCTTCTCCAAGATGCCACGGCAAAAATATTTAGTCGATCATAATGTAATATTATAATGTATTAATAAATATAATTAGTACGATGACATCAGAAACGAAATTAGACGGCTAATATATAATTAAATTAGCGCCAGCAGCGGAGTAAAAGGATTAGTTGTCTTCTAATTCCAAATTGCCGTCGCACAGTCGGCTGGGAAACGGGTAAATTATGTTTTCAGTGACCTAATTATTAATATATTTTTATTTGATTATATAAATATAAAATGAACTAATTTAATCATTTTTTCACATTTGTTTTGAAGTCACTTCGCAGTTAATAATTCAACACCATTGTGACAGGGTGTTTTTCTTTTAAATTTTACGAAAAAACCTCTAAAATTTTCCTATAATTTTGTTAAAACCTCCTAAAATTTACACAACAAAATTTAAAATCAAATAAAAGCTAGATTACAATAGCGACCATTTTTAATATGCAGATATTTCTTTTGATAGAGAGCGGTTAATTTTTTTAAAAATAGAAAACATTCAGAATTATAATAAAGATTTACGAGCATAATAATAAACGTAAACTAAATTATGATTAGGATATTTTTCCTATAACCATTGACACCAAAATGAGTCACCTAGATGACACAATGACTCAAGAATGAAAAGGTTAAAAAACCTAACCAAATGCTCGAACAAAATAAAGATACGAACAAATTTGATTGCATCAACAAACAAACCACAAAATGAGATAAAACTATTGAAAGATCACCAATAAATCATAAATCAGAGTCAAGCAACGTGAGAAAACTATCCATAAACGCAAAACATGTATCTAAATAAATCTGATGGTCCAAAATAGGGAAGATCATCATGAATAACAAATAAGCGTCATCTTGATCAGTCTTGACGAGTCAAATTCAACTCTAAGAAGAAAAAAAAATAAACAAAAATAATGGTCAAACAACCGAAAACTACCAAAAGACATAGAAAAACATGTCATAGAGACAAAGATAAATGTGTCACAAATACAAAATTATTCTTATTAAAAAAAATTTAAAAAAACAAAGAGACTTAGTTTATGCATTAGCCATACTTATTTTATTATACAATATTATATCATGTTTAACAGCAAAGGCATGTCACGAGAAATGGCATTAAAATGAAACTTCCTATTAAAATGTAAGGTAAATTAGGTATTTAGTATTTAGGCTATTAGTTTTGGATACAAGAATATATGCATATACCTGCATTTTTGTGCAGAGTAATCAGTGAACCTGTAACATCCTCATTACCGGGTTAGTTATTAAATTGTAAAATTTCAGAATTTGATGATTAAAGTATAATAGTTGAATAGTTCAATGTTTTATTTGAGAATATTTCCTGAAAGTTGTTAGTAATTATCCAAGGAATTAAAGGGTAAAATGGTCATTTGAAAAGAAAGATATTTTTTCCCTTATATGAATGAATCACGTGGGGGAAGGAATAATTATCTTCTTCTTCTTTCTTTCTTTCTTTCTTTCTTTCTTCTCTTCTCTTCACCGTGAACCCCCAAAGGCAAAGGTGATTTTCTTTGTTTGTTGATTTAAAGTTTGGGTTTTGATTATTAGATGATAACTAAGCATAAGGAAAGCTTAAGTTATCTTAAAATCAAAAGATAAAGGAGTTAGGGAAGATTAAAGATTTGAAGTTCTTGAGTGAAATATTGAAATAGAGTTGATAAGTTGAATTTGAAACTAAATTTGATTTGTCATCAACTTAATTAAGAGATATGAAGTGATAGAATTGAATTTGGAGTATATTGAAAATTGGGTATGATTATTGATTTTTATATGGATAATAGGATTTTGAGATTTGAGATGTGATAAATGAGTAGAAATTGGTTTAAGTATGTATATTTGAGTTAAGAATATGAAAGGGAATAAAACTTAAAGAATTGAAGCTGAAAATAATGAATTTTCGTGCATAAATAGTGATTTTTGGGCAAAATTTACAGATTTTTATAAGGGTATCGATACCTTAGGGAGGGTATCGATACCCCTAAAGGAAAAATGGAATTTTGGTTCATTAAACTAGCTTAAGTTATTAACATCAAGTTATAAGGTTTAGGCTTTTGATAATCGTCTCAGAAATTATGTTTATGTAGATATTGAGTCTAAACAAGTTCCGGAACAATCAAATAATTAGAATCGAATCAAAGCAAGGCTAAGGTGAGTGCAATTTAATTTGTACTTAGATTATTGAACAAACATTGGCTTGCGATGAGCCAGTGACAGAGTTTTTATGGTAAGAAGTAATTTCTAAAATGTTATCTGATCTTTATGTGTGCATGAGTACATGAAAATGTGTATAGGTGTCATATGATATTATATGTGATATGTGATATTGAATTACATGAATATATATGAAAAATATGATAACAAATATGTGATATGCATGATATGTTATCTTATATGCTATGTGATGTATATATGGATATATGTGAATAATATATAACATATGTTTATGAACAAAGGAGAAATGATATAAGCTATATGAAACCACTTACGTGATTCCATGCAAAGTGATATGAAATATGTGGCATATAAATATGCAATATGTGATACATGTTATATGATAAGAGATAGATGGTTACACATACATGTGGTATGTGACAGAAGAAAAGAAATATGTGATCATAAGAGCAATGATATGAACTGTTATAAATGATAATGCCCATGCCATATAATACGAGAACTATAGGTATAGTTGGCATGCCAAGAGTCGAGGGTTTACGCGGTCTTTCGGGACAAATACATAGGTATTTCGGGATAAATACATAGGTCTTTCGGGACAAATTTCATATGCCACTCAGTGGGACTTATACGAGCTATGGTGACAACAATAGTGCAACCTCAATGTACTCGAATACGTTGAGTTCTCAATAATATACATGGGCTAATAAAGAGATAATAACAACACAATATATATATGATATATATGTTTTTGATGATACGAAATGTGTTATATGAATTATATGATGTTAGGTGTGCTTTGTTGAGAAGTGATATATGTGTTCCATGATGTGTATGGAAATGTTCAACATATGCTTATATGATAAAAAGGAATTAGTGATAATAATATGATCACTGATAAATATGTTCATGATAAATGTATATGTGTGCATTGGTTATACAATGGGAGATATGCTTTTATATGATATGAAAGTATTAATTGTTTATGCATTGATATGAGTAGAGTAATATTATATATATTTATATGTCTCACTAAGTCAATGACTTAGCGTGTGATTGTTTCACGCGTAGGTTTTGAGAAGAGGAAGATTGATAAAAGCTATACAAGACAGGTCAGTTCCTCTTTTCCAAAGATCAGATCAGAAAAGAATTGAATAGTATGTATTTTGTAATAATAATAGGGGTTGTCATGTAAATAAAGGTTTAAATACAATATGTTCTAATTGGTTTGTAAAATCATATGATTGAGTTTTGTAATGTTTTAAACGTATATATGTAAATGAGAACTTTATAGTGTTGAAAGTTTAAATTTTCGTGAGTTTTATATGTTTTGTCGAAAGTACTGTAGCAGGGTATTAGTACCTGTAGCAGGGGTATCAATACCCCTAAAGCAAGCTGGAAAAAATTTAGTATTCAATATTGTTCACGGTACTATTCATTACTGTTCATAAAACGTATATTTTCTTAAATTGGTTATAACAAATACAAAACAACAATATATTATCATATTTTCTTAATATAAGTCCAAATGATCTGTATTTTGTTAAGAATATTATTTTAAAAAGTCAATGTGACATCTTGAACTCGTATCTTGGTTGGGTACGGGTTAGGTACGGGTTGGAGTGTTACAGAACCCCTATAGAGGAAATGCCATAAGAAAAATTGGAGACGATACCTTGACCCTCCTCAAAACACTATGTTAATCGACGAAAGCTTTATCATGTAACTAACGTGATGGTGGTTCAAGTTGCTTCAGCCGTCGGACAACTTGCTTTAGTGTAGGTCTAGTAGAGAGCGAATCGACGGTACAAACAACGGCAAAGTATAGAAAGAATTTCGACCAAGTCATTCCGAGGGCTTGCATCCCATATCCCTGCAGTTAAGAACTCCTTGGTCTGGCTCTTTCAAAAAAAGAACTACTTGGCCCGACCTTGTTGCAAGTTAAAAACCATTGTTTTTTATTTTATTTTAATATCGCATCGTTAAAAACTTAACGTGTTTAGTACATAAACTATTAATTTTGATCTGTTTTAGTACCTAAACTTTTAATTTTTTTTCAAAACTTAACGTTAAATTTTGAATAGAATACTAAAATAAAACAAAACCCAAATTTTATGTGTGATTTAAAAAAATAAAAATTTAAATAATAAAATAAATCAAAACCGATAGTTTACCTAATTTGATTATCTCATTGAACTTGAAGGATTTATATTATTTAAATTACAATAGCGACAATTTTTTTATTATAATAATATTATCAGGCTCAAAAGCAAAAGTATGTAGGGTGTTAATGCATTACCAACAATTGTTTCATTATATAACATTACCACTTTTAACAGCAGATTTGTGTATTATTAGTGACTGAGTGTAAATTTATAATTTTAAAAATACGGGTAAAAATAAATATTTAAGAAATTTTAATTAAGTGACATTATGAATTACTCATAAACTTATTGAGTGAAGTTGTATATTATTCGACTCGATCCATTAAAATCTCAAATCGAATTTGAATTCAAATCGAATTAACTCAAAATTTACATTTTCCAAATTTTAACCCATCGAAGTCGAACCGCTCTGCCCAACCCTACTTCAACCTTATAATATATTGTTGAACATCTTTGAGAAACAGAGAGAGAAAGGGCTCCATTTCATGTTTGTTCAAGGCCAAGCCAACCCCAACCCCCCAACCCCACTCACATCAGCCATGGAAATAGCTCCCTTCTTGTCTATGGAAACAACCGCCACTTTCCTCGGCGTTCCCCACCCGAAATCGGTTCCGTAAAGATTAAACCGAAGCAATCCGACAACTGAAATTATCTGTACAGATCCTGCTGGTTCTTTACCTAATTCGAATAAGGGTGTCAACCTATCTTTTGCTCCTTGGAGAACTCCTTTCTCTGTTGATCCCTTCACCATATTGCTTACTTTTTCTGCAGCAAATGCAAACCCTTCTTCCATGTAACCTCCTGCCTTTGATATATCTGCTAGAACAACATTAAAATTTCCGAAATAAGTTTATGAGACAGGTGGATTACAGCGTGGCCTGCAATCAGCTGCGAATCCAAGAACAACAGTGCCACCACCTTCTCCACCTCTTGCTTTAACTATGCAACTAGTTACATAACCAAGCGTTAGCACAAATGCTGACAAATGAAGTTGTTTTCTTTAGCTATCAGATGATTTGGACAATACCCTTTGTCTCACATTTTCTTGAAATCTTCAGGAGTTATGGTAACTGTGGCTCGGACTAGATTAGGAGCTGCTCCTTTGTATGCTGAAACCTTCAAGCTTTTATTACCGATATTTTCTATCCGTTGGTTCAAGTATAAATATCAAGGTCAAGCCCTGTAGGATCTTTGATAATTTTCCTGTCAAGAGATGGGATTAGTTCCGGTGGCAGATTCGAGTTTTGTTTAGCCCCTTGCACAAGTAAGCCCAGGATTTCATAAACATGGTTGTAGTTTTACCATCAAGAACCATATGGTGAGCTGTGATTCCAATGGAAAACCCTTTATCAGGAAAAAAGGTTTTTTGAATAGACAAAATGGATGCCGAATCATCTGATAAATAAGCTGGGACATCAAAGGATGTAACTCGATAGCTTCGATTATCCCATCACCGGTGAGACGGTCGAAGTCTGCATCAGACTCCGCAACTATGAGTGAAACTCCTGTCTGGAGCGTAGTAAATGAAGGGTTTGGGGGTATTTGATGGCCACTTGAGGCTTCCAGTGATGGGGAGGTAATGGTGGTGTGCCACAGAAAGGGATTGCTCGAGTTTTGGGAGTATTTGGTAACTGAATTATGCACGATTTGAGACATTGAGGTTGTGAAAAAAAGAGTCGCTCAACTGGTGAAATTTTGAACCAGTAAGTGTCGAAGAAAGTGAGTGAAAGGGGGGATTCAAAGGCAGAGATTGGATTCAGAAGATGGTTTGATTTGGGTAATATCAAGGATCTTTACATGATACTGAACTGTCTAGACTGAAAAATATTCTGTTTTTTTATTAGACCACAAATGGAACTCGGATATAATTGTACAGCTTGGATAAGAGAAAATATACATATACCTGCAGTCTTTTGCAGAGTAATCAGTGCACCTCCTATAGGAGTAATAGCACCAGAAAAATTGGGGAAGAGCTGCGTTGCAATTTACAAATTGGCAATAACTACACCTTCTAACTCTATCTAATGGCGACCGGAGACGATAACCGAGAGCTTCACCTTGCTCAAAAAACTATGTTAATCGACGGAAGCTTTATCATGTAACTAACATGATGGTGGTTGAAGTTGCTTCAGCCGTCGGACAACTTGTTTCATTGTAGGTCTAGTAGAGAGCGAATCGACGGTACAAACAACGGCCAAGTGTAGAATTTCGACCAAGTCATTCTGAGGGCCTGCATCCCATAACCCTGCAGTGAAGAACTCCTTGGCCTGGCCTTGTCGCAAGAGCATGCACGACCATTGAACAATGTTGAAGCCGTTTCCATAAGGAGAAAACGAGGGATCTAATGCTTTCTTATCTGAGAGCAACTCAAGGAGTACCACCCCATAGCTGTACACATCAGCTTTATCAGAAACACGACAAGTCATTGCATACTCCGGTGCAACATACCCGAAAGTTCCAGCAACACCAGTTGTAGCATGTGTTTCAGACGTGCCCAAAAGTCTGGCCAAACCAAAGTCTGATAAAAAAGCATTGTAATCATCATCCAAGAGGATATTGCTGGGTTTGACATCACGGTGGAGAATCCGTGGGACACATTGATCATGTAGGTAGGCAAGAGCACGGGCTATGTCGAGGGCGATCTTGTGAAGTATCCTCCAATCCATTGTTCTGGTGGGCCTCTCCTGAATAAACTTCTCCAAGTTACCTCCTGGAAAGTAATTATATACAAGGAATGTTTCCATTTCACTGGCATGATATCCAATAAGGGTAACAAGATTTGGGTGGCGCAACCTCCCAAGGATTTTTATTTCAGTATCAAACTGTTGAAGACCTTGCAACCGTCCAATTGCAAGCCGTTTTATCGCCACCAAGATTCCAGGAGAGATCTCTGCTTTATAAGTCGACCCAAAACCTCCATTCCCAATACAGTTGCTAGCATTGAAATTCCCTGTGGCCCGCACAACAATGTCAAACGTCAAAGGGACCCCAATGTCAGTGAAAATCGTCACTTCTTTGTTCGTGTTGCTGATAATTTTGGATCTTGAATTCCACTTCCGAGTATATATGAATAAAACAATGAGAGCCAGAAGAACCGAAACAATGGCTGAAGCAGATGTTATTGAAGCTATCTCAATTGAACTGAAACCATTATTTCCATTTCTTCTGGTTGAAGATCCTGTTGGTGATGCAGCATAATTTTGTGAACTGCCTGCTCTTTCTTGATCTGAAGATAGCATTAAGGAGTACGCACGACAAGGCTGTAGAAGTGGGTTCCCGAGAAGACTGCTGCATTTCATCAAATTATTACTTGAAGGCAGTGGCCCAGACAAGTTATTGAAGGACACATTGAATGCAGAGAGCTTGGTCACATTTGCCAAACCAGAGGGAATTTGCCCAAAGAGTTTGTTGTTATTGAGAAGAAGAACAGTCAGGTTTCTCAAATTAACCAGGCCTTCAGGAATTTCACCAGAAAGAGAATTTGAAGACAACTCCAGAATTTCTAAAGATTGCAATTGCCCAATGGTGGAAGGAATAGATCCATTCAGATCATTACCAGCCAAAGATAGATACCGTAGATCCTCCATCTGTCCAAAACTGTTCGGAATCTGGCCGTGTAACAGGTTCCAGCTAAAATTAAGAGAAACAAGTGAAACCAAATCTCCGATGCTAGGCGGAATGGTTCCAGTTATTTGATTCCCAGACACATCCAAAAGTTTGAGAGATTTGCAAAGTTTACTCATTTCAGCTGGAATCTGACCAGACATATCATTGTAGCTAACATTAATAAAAAGTGCACCCAAAGCATTGCAGTTCTCGAAAAAAATCTGAGGAAATGGTCCACTTAGCAAGTTTTCTCCTGCATAAAATGCATAAGAAATCTGTTTCCCGGATCGTTGTGGTGCGATTGGCATCGACATGACACTGCCAGTAAAATTATTATCTCTAAAGTTGTGAAACACAATAGGACCGTCATCTCCTCCAAAGAACTCAAAATATGTTCCAACTTGAACTTTTCTTGCCAAAAATGATAAATAAGCAGAAGTTGGGTTGAAGGGTTCAGCAGAATACGAATCTGAGGTGAGAAAGTCAGCGCATCCGCGGTTGTAGAATCTAGGTATGGAACCTGACAATGAATTCTCACTGACATCAAACACACTCATACAAGGAACTGCAAGTTCCTCAATAAGCTCTCCAGCAAGGCGCTTATTTGAGCTTAAGTCAAGGTAGCGTAGCTTCTTGCAGCGGCTAAGACTGACAGGAATTTCCCCGGAAAAAAAATTCTGAGCCAAATTTACCATCTCCAAGTTATCACAAGCACCCCAATCACTCGGCAGGTTTCCCTCAAGTGTAGCCCTTGGAGCCCATAATACCCTCAGCTTTGGAAGCTTCGTGATTTCACGAGGAATCTCACCTTGATAAAAATTAAAATCATCCTTTACAATACTTCGATCTCCTTTAGCCATAGCAAGGTCATCATACGGATTAAACATATTTGAGAACACAAGCACAGTCAATTCAGAACAATTTCCAAGCTCAACAGGTATCGGGCCGCTCAAACTATTCCTTGAAACATCCAAGACTTCAAGATTCCGAAGCATACCAATTTCACGAGGAATCCGTTCCTCCAACAAATTTGTATACAACAACAGTGTCCTCAACTGACTACAGTTCCCCAAACTAGCAGGAATCTGCCCAATAAAGTTATTCCCAGACAAATCCAAATGCTCAAGATTACAACCTCGGCCAATATCAACGGGCAACAAGCCACCGAGAGACGTAAACGACAAGTAAACACCTCGAAACCTTCCAAAATATCCGGGAATGGTTCCACTCACAAGATTACCAGCCAAATTCAACATCTCCATTTGTTTCAAACTCGAAAGCCAACTCGGTATCTCTCCAGTAATGTTATTAAACCCCAAATTAAGAACTCTCAAGTTCTTTACCCCAGAAACACTAACAGGAAATGACCCAGATAACAAATTGTTCTCTAAATCAAGTACTTCCAAATTCTCAAACTCCCAAATTTCAGCAGGAATTTCACCACTAAATCTATGAAAAGGAAGTGATAAAACTCTAAGTTCACTCAATTTTCCAATAGAAGGCAGCAACTTTCCATACAAACTCCCATTTCTTTCCCCACAATTCCTTCTAATACCAAACCCATAAAATGGAAATACATCATAATCAGAGCAAGAAAACGAGAGAAAAGCACATGTACTGTTGGAATTACCTTTTTTCCCTCTTCCAAAACCAGTTATGTTAAGAGACAAAACTTTGGAGTTTTTGTCACATGTAACACCAAACCATGAACAGTGATTGGAAGTTTCGGTCCAAGCGGACAAAAGCCCTGAAGGATCTGAGACAGACTTCTTAAACTCAAGAAGAACAGCTTTGTCTGAAGAATTATCACCCAAAGCGACACTGTTTAATACGCAGAAGATGAGTAAGAAAAATGGCTGCCACTTGACCACTGAAGCTGAAAACAAACCCATTTTCTAGATACTCTAAAACACTAAAAATAAAGCTTTTTTTAGGCTTATCCTACAAGAATTCGGTCATGAAAATCTGGGTTTCCCTTCTGGTTTCTCCGGGTGTGTTTTTCAATACCCTAACCCTAATCTTTTAGGTTGTTTGGGGAGGGAGAAAATTGGAAGGAGAAGTGAAGAGGAAGAAGATGTCAACGAGAGACGCGTTTTACTTTCCTTTTTGTTCTTCTTTCGTCCTCCTCTGTTTCTTAGAATTTTAATTTAGGGACAAATTATGGAATGGCATGCAAAGTATGTCTTATTTACGGAAATATCCAATATATTTTCAAACTTTTTAATTAAGTCCTGAACCCTGACTGATTGGACTTTATGCATATTGTCAAATATAATGGACATTTTGGAAAGATAATTTTGTTATATTTTTAATCCTAGACATGAAATGATACTAAAATTATATACAATTTGCATCTTCAATACTTTTTCACTGAAAATATTTAATTAAGTAATATTGCAAAGAAACGTTTTTGTTTTCAGTAGTTGAGAAAGTTGTCCAAAACCATGAGGGAGGTTTTTGGAAATTGAACAAAAACTCAGGGGTTCCATTACAAATATTTCCAACTTCTTCTGTGTTTGGAATTTTCCACTTTATTTTCCTTTTTAAATAGTTTAAGCCATTGGGATTTGTGGCTTCTAAACGCATAAGAGAAAAATCCAACCAGATGGTGTGCTTGGGTCCCACAACCCGTAAACAAACGCATCACCACCGTCCATTTATGGCCTAAGGAATTTTGCTTCCAATCATTTCATGTATGGTTCTTGGTTTTTTTCCTTTCATTTAAGGATTATTTTTTACGTTTATATTCGATTAAAAGTATTAATCGAATTCACATCAAATAAAGAATTTAATTCTGTCAAGTAAGATATGGTAAAGATATCATTAATATTTAATTTTTTTTCTTAAGTTTCTAATAATATTAGATTAAGACAATTTAATTATCACGTATGATAAAGATATCATTAATATTTAAAAAAACATAATCCCATAATAAACCTAATTTTCAATTATTGTCCTTATCAGTAAAATAAATAATAATTATTTTGTGCTAGGTATAACGTACTTTCGAGTGTATGTTACTCAAAGGAGTGCTGTGGCTCGTATGTCCTCAAGTGACGAATTGTTTTACTTTACGATAAATTATTTTGTTGAGTCCCTCGACTATTGAAAGTTATAAGATGGTCATCCAATTATTCATTACATTCTAAGCTCGTATTTTTCGTTAAAAAATTGACGGTCTTCTGAGTTGAACGTTAACTACTGATAATGATATGATAAAATTTCATCCTAGAATCTTAAGCGACTATCATGTCTCAATCATCATGTTAACGTCCAACTTAGATAGCCGCCGCGGAAAATTACGAGTTTAGAATATATAGTTAGATTGTCATTTTTTAACTTTTAATAGTTCAGAGATTTAATAAAATAATATTTTATATTTTGGGATAATTTGTGTACTTTACCCTATACTGTAATAGTATAATAGATACTTTAAGCTTTATTTAGATTTTCTCACGTGGTATGATAAGAGGACTGGACGCGGGGCCATCATCCTTTTCCTTTTTCTTATATATTGCCTTTTATTTTTAGTTAAAGGAATAGGGTCCCTGTGGAGATATACATATATTGCAAAAGGTCCCATGGAAATATATTTGATTTAAAGTAACCCATAAAATATACATAGTTAAGCTTACTAAACTTGGAACTAACTTAACTCGGTATGGTTAAGTTTAGCAAAATGTAAACATTGGTATTAAATGATAATAAAAAAATGGCTGAAATCAATGCATCAGATTTATTGACTTGAACCAAACTGATAACCTCATCTCTTATTCCATGACTTGTTCAAGGTTCTATGCTGCCATTGCAGAGATCGATATCGTTGTCGATGCGGACTTGTTTCTCTCGGTTTTCGTGTACAATTGCCGTTATTCGTTTAATAATATAAGTAGAGATTATTGCTGGCTTGGCTTGAGATTATTGCCTTAACCAAATCTGATAATCCGGTCCTTTATCGATGAACTTTTGCCAGCTACCATCCAGCTGATTCTCCTTTGAAGGATTCCAGTTGAAATGTCCTAGTTTCATCACTAGGGTGTCGCCGACCCGAGCTACGTACCCTTGGTTATTGGCATGGTATATTTTAACAGAACTTCGGCAGTGGATCCCGGCTCGTCTTCGAGCTTCTATTAGTTCCGTCAAGACATCGCGCAGGCCGAATTCATATAAGTGGTCATAAAATAATACAGGCTGCAACATATTGAAAGAAGTGCATTAGAAGTATGCAATCTGTAATTCAGCCATGTCCATCCTTGATATTTCTGTTCATGTGTCTGTCTCTAGAATCAGAGGGCAGTTTTGATGACAGGTAACTTACAGTTCCGGGATGCGTCACGATGTAAGCGTATCCCTGTCCAAGCTTATCGCGGGGAAAGGGCCAGTGACCCTAAAATGAAACTCAAACAGTTGGTAACTTTCCACTGCCGATATGACAAGTTCATGAGCTGATATGACTGAGATGTACCAAGGCTCAGATCGAGTTGGACTGAAACTTGCAGAAAAGTCATTTTCCGATAATCACACTCAGGATTTGAAGTTAAGACATGACAACGGAAGCTTTATCGTGATCTCAAAGCACTACATTCAATCTTTCGGATGTTCCTTTGAGATTAGTTATACACTAAACTGGACTACATAGGAGAGTTTAGCCCTCAGAGTGATACATGAAAGCTACTGAACCTTACAAGTTTCTTTTAGCTCCGCTAGAAGTATACCTATTATGGCACTCAGAAAGATGGTACTGCTCCGAGTTTGTGTAATGTGTATTTACGTTTGAATGTATGCATGTCCGTGAGCGATACAGGGAGTACCTGGGTAGATCCTGTATCATGGTTCTCTAGAAACGTACAAGCGTGAGAAGGCCACCATCCCATTACTCCGGTTGGTTTTCCTTGAGGATCTATCAGCCTCCAATATTGGCCATGTAAAGCAGAGTGGAGTATCCCCTGCAGTGGCAAATTATTTGTCTGCAGTTAGAGAAAGCATGCACCTACGTGACAACAATTTTTCCTCGAGGCTTATTTTGGTCAAGTTGTATACATATTATGGACATGGACATTAACACTTGAAAAAAGTGAACCGAATATGTATTCAACTTGAGACAATGGTGAAGCAAAAGGGCGGCAGGCAGGCAGAGGCCTTGCCTCACTTGGCTTGTCCAAACACTTAAGGTTTTTTTAGTATTTTCTTTCTCAAAAAGGGTCGAAAACTATTTAGGAATACCTTTGTCGTGACATCAAAAGCAGAGGAAGTACCACCAGTGGCATTGATCCAGTTGACTATCCGTTGTCGATGAGCATCTAGACATGTAAACAAAGTCCCATATATCATTGCAGGGACTAGGGTAATTCTATTCTATGAAAAGATTATATAAATCAAGAGAACAAGGAAGCACATGGGACTTAAATCTAGTCACCAGAAAGACCAAGAGGCACAAAACATGAACGAGGGAGGGTTTCTGAATAAAAATGTGAATCATGTTGCACATTGCACAATTTGTGAAGCCGATTAAACAAATTCGAATAATGAGTTCGGTAACAAAACCTTGTTGACCAAACAACCAAAATATAACTCCTTTCTGCAATGAATATGACCAGCTAGACATAAATTGAAGGGGTAAAATTTCAGATATCATCACTTGGAGAGTTGAAATAACTTTCCAAAAGTCCCAATATAAGATCTATTTCGATAAAATGCCAGACCAACCAAAGGAGTTTTAATTTTGAAAATAACCATGACAAGAAGATTAGGCAGGCTTCAGGAAAATGAAGTTTGCTATTGTCTCAAACAAAATCAGACCAAAAAAAAATTCATATTTCTCAGGTAAGATTAAATGATTACCTGTTTATGAGCGCATCGATGGTTAAGCACGACATCTCCTAATGCCTGCATACATAGGCAACACAATTTAAGTTTCACCTCACCATACAAGTATCATCTATGCAACTTCCAAGAAGAAAGATGAGGTTTCATGGCCTTTCAGGAATATAAGATTAGCTCAAAAGTCAAAATGGTACTAGCATCTGTTCCGAACTCTTTCTTATTACCCACCTTAAAGAATTTCTGAATAATGCACATACATATATAGACTTTGAACCAACAACGAAAATGAAAATGTCTGAAGCAAGAAGAAAGTTGACCCAAGGATTAACAAGTAAAGCTTACTATTCATAAAAATTGCTCCACATACCAAAAGGTCCTGAGCATGCATTTCCTCTATGCAAGATTTCAGGTCTTCAACAGATCCATATTTGGAGTTCAAGTTGTAAAGATCAGAAGGCATATAACCTGCATTTTATTCCATATAACTTATAACAGTCTGCAAAACACAATATGAATGTCCCTTGGGAGAAAAAGAAACAGATCATTAGCATTGCAACATGATCATAACATGACCATAACATTATCCTCCATTCCAGAATAACCACATGCATACACGGTACGTCATCTGGAAGACTGGAATGACAATTTAATCTATCAGAAGTGATAGAATGGCTTAAATTTCAGATGAGCCGCGATTCCGGTGAAAAATAAGATAATAGTAGATGAACAAAGGAAACTATTGAAGGTTTACCTTGGGGTGCAACAGATTCTGTTGGTGGTGGGAGCCAGACTGCAGTAATCCCCGTTTGAGATAAATCAACAGCCTTGATAGCTAACTCCTCGTACCATTGCCTTCTCCAGCTTTCCCAGTTGAAACCTTGGAACTTGAAGACCAACAAATTAAGATTTAAGTTCTATAGTAGCCAAATAAAATCATTTCTTTTTCCAGACGTAATGGACATTTGACCAGGATAAAATATTTATAGATATCTCATCTCTAAGTTAAAATCATGAAGCCTCTGTTAGTCAGTATCATGAAATATGAACCAAGAACAAGTATATCCAACCAACAACTCACCACAATTTCTCGTCCCGTTCCAGTTCCTGGCTCTGCATTGTGTTTCAAATTCTAATGCAAATTAAATATAACCCTGCTTCTCAAAATTGACATAAGAATGATAAAAAGTACATATAAGAAAAGAAGAAGGAAAACTAACCAAATTTTGTTTCATCTCGAGTCCGCTGCCATTGAACTGTTTTTCGTTGAAGTGCTCGTTCCAAAGTTTTCCTTTTCTTCTCTATTACCTCTTTTTCCATAACATGTTCAACAAGAATATCACCTTCTCTAACCTTTTCTTCAGCAATAGACCAAACCTTATCAGGTTTGGGCAATTCCAAAGATTTAAACTTGGACCTTAAGGCTTTAGAAATGTCAGCCTTTCGAGGAGGAAACTTGGGACGGATACTCCATATCCTTCTCGCCATCCACGGAGGTATCTCCTTACGTGGACCACAACTCAGAAGTTTCCATTTCTGTGAATCATCATCATTTAAAAGGTCTATTCGCCCACTGTTAGAAACATAGACGTCGTCTCCGGTTTCGTCCTTTTCTGATCTTTCCTTCAATAACAATGACTGTGCCATCTCTGCTCTTTGTCTCCACATCTTTAAAGCACTTTCTGATGTACTCAGTGACCTCTGCAAGGCTTCACACCTTTTCATGTAAGCATTTTCTCTCGAGTACGTTGTCTTTGGCAGCATCAACAGCAGCCTTGATGCTTTGCAACTCGGCGTTAAAAGCCTTGGACAAAGCATTCTTTCTCTCTTCTGCTTATTTATTTATTTTCTCCAATAAAGACCTAATATCCTCTTCCTGCTCAAGAGCCTTTTTCCTTCTCAAGTCTTGGAATTCAAGCAATGCCTTCTCGGCATTACTAGCTCGGAGTTCAGCTGCACTTGCTTGTTCTTGGGCCATTTGCAGCTCCAGTTTCAACCTGTCAAACTCACTTTTCGAAACCAGTAATTGAGCTTCTATATCACTGACAGCACCTTGTAACTTAATATTCTCAGATTGAACAGAAGCAATAGCATCAATGGGATTTATACCATCAGTAAATGCTGCAATAGCTTTCTTAGCCTGCTCACTGGCGTTTTCTGCCACATCAAGAGCCTCTTTTATTGCATCTCTGGACTCCTCAATAATTAAGGATATAGTACCTTCGGTCGATTTTCTTATTTGATCTTCAATTTGAAAAGCTGACTCAGCAGCCAATGTTTCTGCAGCTGAAACCCTCAGCTTGGCATCTTCTAATACACGAGATGTGGTCTGTTGGAAAGCAATCTCCGCTAACTTTTCAACTTGTACTGCAAGATCAACCGCGTCTTGCTTTGCAAGAACCAACTTAGATTCTAAGGCAGATTTCTCTCCCACTGACTCCTGCAGCTTCTGATGGAGCAGAGATTTCTCCAACTCCAGTTCCGAAACAACCAATTCCTTGTCATGCAAAATGGAAGCCACATTTTCCTTCTGTTTAGCCTCCGAAGAAGAAAAATCTTCAAACAATTGATCTCTTTCTTTTTCAAGGGCTTCTCCTCTGGCCTTAGTCTCAGAAAAAAGCTCTTTTCGTCTCAGTTAACCTGTCTTTTTTCGCCTCCAATTTTTTATTTCGCCTTGACATATAACCATCCTCATTGTTGAGCTACTATGGTAAATGACTAACAAGAATACATGTAAATTGAATGAAGTAAGTTGATTGTATTGATCAGCTCTCCTTACATCCTTATATACAGCATTACAGATTTGTTATTTCTTTAACAGTCTTGTAACTGACATATAACAAACTCAACAGATTACAAACAACCCTAGCTTCTAGCAAACTTCTAGAATTACTAAGCTGCATGAATGAGCAATGCTGATGCCCACACTAATCACTCACAGATTCATACTTCTAACACTCGTCATCGGCGAAAGTGTCATTGGAATTACCCTGCCATAGAAATCAAAACTTTTAGCATACACTCCCCAACTTATCAGAAAAAGAACCAATGACAATAATCCAATATGCATCAGTACACACACCCTATTTGAGGCAGCAATTATTCTCCGCCCGCACCGCCAATTGCCGGTAAGTAAATTCCTCCTGCAACAACAACATCATCTTCTTCCATCAATGATTTGATAGCCCCACCTTACCAAATAAGTATGGAGCTTGAACATAAAAAATAAAGAACCTTTTCCTGTTAGAAGAGCCTCCCAAGATTAAAGGAAACTGCCCAAGTGGTCTGCCTAGAGAAACAACAGGGGACTGGGGAAGAAGCATCCCAGAGGCTGAACTTGGCTTTAAAAAAGCACCCATTTTTTCTTTCTGTCAAGATAAAATAAAAAAATAAAAACTTTAGCAACCTACAGAACTGCACAAAACCAAAAGTAATTGCTTCATGAACAAATCAATAAAGATCTCAAAATCAGCATAGACAAATAACAATATCTTTCTTGGATCAGAACAAATAACAATTTCTAGAACAACAAAGAAGTAAAAAAGACAGAAGAGATAAATTAAAACCCATGTTGTAAACGTTATCATACATTTATTCACAGAAGCCAATGAACCATAATGAAGATCACAGATAAAATCATTAACTGGGATATATGTAAACTAACCAATTGTAGCAGAAACAAAAGTATTGAAGACAAAACAAAAGCCCCGTCAAGAGAATATTTCAATGCATCAAATCAAGCCATTGGATCATGTAGAACAAATAAAAACGTGTAACAAAGAAAGTGCAAACCTGATATGTACCGAGGTGGAAAGAGTTCTGGGAATTCAATTCATTGTATTTGATTAAGGGTCGAGTTTTGTGATTGGCGAAAGGGAAAATGACAATGGGATTTCGGTCTTGGAGATCAGCATTTGCAGGGGAAACAAGAAAATGTAAGAGAGAAGAATGGGTCAGGTAGTTTCTATGGTAGAGAAAGTGGAGTGCGACTTTTTTTAAGATATGCATGAAATATTATTTATAGTAATTATTATTTATTGCATGTTCATGCGGTTTGACTGTCACACTAATTTTGGTGGACCAATATTATCTCTTAAAAGACGAGACGGAACGAATCAAAAGCAAAAGAAAGCTCAAAAAGATTGGGAAAAGCAATTCTTTTGGATAATAATTATTTCCCAATCAACCCAACAATCTTAATTCAAAAAAAGATAACCTTTTACTTTAATAGAAATGTAATTGGAATCTGAATTCGTAATTTAAATTTTATTTGATCGTGTAATAAAAATGATTTAACAGAATGAAATCTAATTGGAATTTATATCATATACTTTTCCCTTCCCCTTTTTGTTTTACTTGTACACAAGTTGAACGTAAGTGTTTCACATTTTCATGCACCCGAGAAACTAACTAGAAAAAATGTAGTGAACACTGGAAAAACATCTTCTGCTTATCTGTGCAGTTTGGTTCTCACTCTCCACAACTACCGACTCGAGCAAACTCGGCAATCAATTTTACTAGACAGTGAGGCTTCTCAACATGAGGAAGATGACCCGTATCTGATACTTGTTGCATGCTTGCTTTTGGGAGCTCGAAAAGCAGTCTCTTTAACATGTCAAGAAAGAAAATTTCCCAAGTTAATAGTTAAACATACCTCCACCCAAGTTCGCGTCATCTACACTTCCTGGTGTTGAAAAAAAAAAGTCATACTTTGCTGCAAATTTGTTTTTCAAATTTGGCAGTTCCAATGTGCGTGAATTCAGTGGAATTCTGTGGCAGCACATTCTTGTTGATTTTTTGTATGGTAAAATTGCTAAAATTAGTCATTGTACTTTAGGGTATTTACAAGATTAGTCTTTAAAACTTCTACTATAAATACACTAGCTCATTTAGCTTCAAAATCATCCCAAAGCATTCTAGCTTTCTTCCAATACTAGAGAGAATTTAGAGAGTTTCTTGAGAGTTATTTTCTCATTTTTATCAAGAGAGAATTATCATTGTTTTCTCCTTAGTCGATCGAGAGAATTTGTAATTTCTATTTTCTCATAGTGAAATTCTTCTACTGTTGCCCGTGGTTTTTACCATATATTATTCAGGGGTTTTCCACGTAAAATTTGTGTCTCTTTTATCTTCATTTTTATTTTCTCAAATTATCAGTTGCGATTTTGCTCTATCCGATGGCCGTCTTCCGCAACAATTGGTATCCGAGCTAGATTAGAGTATGTAATATATGCTTATTGTCTTTGTGGTTGCCACCAAAAGGTGGATCATCCAACATAAGAAAGTAAGAAGGTATTACTCATTCTTTGAAAGTTCCAGAGAACTATTCACGATAGTGAAATAGTGGGAGCTATCCGTAAAAGAAGCTATGGCAACGAAATTTGATATTGAAAAATTCAATGGGAGAAATTTCTCATTGTGGAAATTGAAGATGAAGGCCATCCTGAGGAAAGACGGGTGTCTAGCATCTATCAATGAAAGGCCGGTAGATTTCACAGATGACAACAAATGGATCGAAATGGACGGGAATGCTATGGCAAACTTTCATCTAGCATTAGCAGATGAAGTATTGTCAAGCATCGAGGAGAAAAAGACAGCTAAGGAGATATGGGATCATCTCACCAAACTGTACGAGGCCACATCGCTGCACAATAAAATTTTCCTTAAGAGAAAATTGTACACTCTCCGTATGCTAGAATCTACTTCAGTGACGGAGCACTTAAATACACTGAACACTTTATTTTTTCAGCTTACATCTTTAAGCTGTAAAATAGGAGAACAAGAACGTGATGAACTTCTACTTCAAAGTCTACCGGATTTGTATGATCAACTCATCATCAACTTGACAAACAGTAATGCCACCAGTCTAGTCTTCGATGACGTTGCAGCTGCTGTTCTACAAGAAGAAAATCGGCGCAAGAACAAGGAAGACAGACAAGTAAATCTGCAACAAGCAGAAGCGTTGACAACGATGAGAGGGAGATCAACAGAACGTGGCCAAAGCAGCAGTCATAAACATGGTAGATCGAAGTCGAGGAGCAAGAAGAATTTAAAGTGCTACCACTGTGGAAAGAAGGGTCACTTGAAGAAGGATTGTTGGAGTCTAAATAAAAACTTCAATCCACAAGGCAATACCGCAAACACTTCAGATGATGGAGATGCTATATGCTGTGAAGCGTCAACAACCGTGGAAGGCAGAAAAAGATTTGCAAATATATGGCTCATTGATTCGGGAGCGACATATCACATGACCTCAAGAAGAGAATGGTTCCATCATTATGAACCTGTCTTAGGAGGATCTGTGTATAGTTGCAATGATCATGCCTTAGAGATCGTTGGTGTGGGAACCATCAAATTGAAGATGTATGATGGAACAATTAAAGTTGTTCGAGATGTGCGGCACGTGAAAGGTCTGAAGAAAAATTTATTATCCTACGGATTGTTGGATAATAATGCTAGCAAGATTGAAACACGGAAATGAATTATGAAGGTGTTCCGTGGAGCGCTTGTGGTACTGAAAGGTGAAAAGATAGCTGCAAACTTGTACATGCTGAAGGGAAACACATTGTTAGAAGCAGAAGCCTCTGTTGCCTCATGTAGTTCAGATTCTGCAATCCTATGACATAAGAAACTTGGACACATGTCAGAACAAGGAATGAAAGTCCTTGTGGAGCAAAAGCTACTTCCAGGCTTAACAAAGGTATCACTTACTTTGTGTGAGCATTGCATAACAAGTAAGCAACACCGGTTGAAATTAAACACATCAAATTCTAGAGGCAAAAGTGTTCTAGAATTGGTTCACTCTGACGTATGGCAAGCACCAGTAACATCCCTAGGTGGAGCAAAATACTTTGTCTCATTTATTGATGAATACTCCAGGAGATGTTGGGTGCACCCTATTAAGAAGAAGTCAGACGTGTTTTCAACTTTCAAAAACTTCAAAGCACGGGTGGAACTTGATTCTGGAAATAAGATCAAGTGTTTCAGAACAGATAATGGAGGAGAATGCACAAGCGAAGAATTTGATGACTTTTGCAAGAAAGAAGGCATCAAAAGACAGTTCACAGTGGCGAACACTCCTCAACAAAATGGAGTGGCAGAGCGGATGAACAGAACCTTGTTAGAAAGAACAAGAGCAATGTTGAGGGATGCAGGCCTAGAAAAATCATTCTGGGCAGAAGCAACCAATACCGCCTGTTATTTGGTGAATCGGGCTCCACGAAGACAACAATGGAGATGTGGACTGGTAAACCAGCTGATTATTCAAACCTCCATATATTTGGAAGTATTGTGTACGTGATGTACAACTCCCAAGAAATCTCAAAGCTGGATCCAAAATACATGAAATGCAAATTCTTGGGGTATGCTGATGGAGTCAAAGGGTATCGCTTGTGGGATCCCACTGCCCACAAAGTGATCATTAGCAGGGATGTTATCTTTGTAGAAGATAAACTACAAAGAAAAGAAGACGATGATAGCGATGAAAAGTCAGAGACTACTCAGATACATGTGGAAAAAGAGTTTGAAGAAAGAAATTCTTCTGAAGTAGAACCAGCACATGATGAACAAGAACCAGAGAGTTCTGAAGCTCCAACAACTCGTCAATCAGATCATGTGAGAAGACGTCCCAATTGGCACTCAGATTATGTTATAGAAGGTAATATTGCATACTGCCTTTTAACAGAGGACGGTGAGCCATCAACATACCAGGAGGTAATAAACAGCTCAGATGCTTCACTGTGGATGATGGCGATGCAAGAAGAAATTGAAGCCCTTCATAAAAATAATACATGGGACCTTGTGCCACTACCACAAGGAAGGAAGCCAATTGGTAACAAATGGGTTTTCAAAATCAAGCGAAATGGTGACGATCAAGTTGAGAGGTATCGTGCAAGACTGGTGGTCAAAGGATATGCTCAAAAAGAAGGTATTGATTTCAATGAAATATTTTCTCTTGTGGTTCGACTAACAACAGTTCGAGTAGTTTTGTTAATGTGTGCTACATTGGACTTACATCTAGAGCAGCTAGATGTTAAAACAGCTTTTCTTCATGGAAATCTTGAAGAAGAGATTTACATGCTCCAGCCTGAAGGTTTTGAAGAAAAAGAAAAGAAGAACTTGGTTTGTAGGTTGAACAAATCTCTGTACGGTCTAAAGCAGGCGCCGAGGTGTTGGTATAAGAGATTTGATTCCTTCATTATGTGCCTTGGATACAACAGACTTAACGCAGACCCTTGTGCTTATTTCAAGAGGTCTGGTGATAACGATTTTGTTATATTGCTGTTGTATGTAGATGACATGTTGGTTGCAGGACCCAACAAAGATCATATTGAAGAATTGAAGGCACAACTGGCTAGAGAATTTGAAATGAAGGACTTGGGATCAGCAAACAAGATTCTAGGGATGCAAATTCAACGAGACAGAAGTAATAGGAAGATTTGGCTTTCACAAAAGAATTACTTAAAGAAGATCTTGTCACGATTCAACATGCAAGATTGTAAGCCAATTTCTACCCCTCTTCCTATTAACTTCAAATTATCCTCCAGTATGAGTCCTAGCAGTGAAGAAGAGAGGATGGAGATGTCTCGAGTACCGTATGCATCAGCAGTGGGAAGTTTAATGTTCGCTATGATATGTACAAGACCAGACATTGCACAAGCAGTGGGAGTGGTTAGTCGGTACATGTCGAATCCAGGCAAAGAGTATTGAAATACAATAAAGAGGATCCTGAGATACATCAAAGGGACCTCAAATATTGCATTATGTTACGGAGGATCAAACTTACTAATCAATGGGTATGTAGATTCTGACTATGCAGGGGATTTGGATAAAAGCAAATCTACAACAGGATATGTGTTCAAAGTTGCTGATGGAGCTGTAAGCTGGGTTTCTAAGTTGCAGTCAGTTGTGGCTACATCCACAACAGAAGCAGAATATGTAGCAGCTACACAAGCCAGTAAAAAAGCAATTTGGTTGAAGATGTTATTGGAGGAGCTTGGGCACAATCAAGAGTATGTCTCTCTGTTTTGTGACAGTCAAAGCGCCTTGCATCTAGCAAGGAATCCAGCATTTCATTCAATGACAAAACACATACGAGTTCAATACCATTTCATTCGTGAAAAGGTGGAAGAAGGGACAGTAGATATGCAGAAGATCTATACCAAAGACAACATAACAGATTTCATGACGAAGGCGATCAACGCTGATAAATTTACTTGGTGTCGATCCTCTTGTGGCCTGTTAGAGACATAAGCAACATGAAGGTACAAGGTAGAAAGAATGATGTGAAGATATGATTGTTCAAATCAAATCTTCAAGTGGGAGATTGTTGAAAAATAAAAGTCATACTTTGCTGCAAATTTGTTTTTCAAATTTGGCAGCTCCAATGTGCATGAATTTAGTGGAATTCGGTGGCAGCACATTCTTGTTGATTTTTTGTATGGTAAAATTGCTAAAATTAGTCATTGTACTTTAGGGTATTTATAAGATTAGTCCTTAAAGCTTCTACTATAAATACCCTAGCTCATTTAGCTTCAAAACCATCCTAAAGCATTCTAGCTTTCTTCCAATACTAGAGAGAATTTAGAGAGTTTCTTGAGAGTTATTTTCTCCTTTTTATCAAGAGAGAATTATCATTGTTTTCTCCTTGGTCGATCGAGAGAAGTTGTAATTCCTATTTTCTCATAGTGAAATTCTTCTACCGTTGCCCGTGGTTTTTACCCTATATTATTCAGGGGTTTTCCACGTAAAATTTGTGTCTCTTTTATCTTCATTTTTATTTTCTCAAATTATCAGTTGCGATTTTGCTCTATCCGCTGGCCGTCTTCCGCAACACCTGGGAAATCGCATGACAAGAACAAAGCTAACAGTAAAGCTAAACTTGATGCTGTCCCTGGTAGGATTGATTTCTAAAGTGGCTATTTTTGTTCTAGTAAATGGTTTCTTGAATTGTGAACTTTTACTACTTACCAAATTTTGTTGGTTGTTTCAGACACCTTGATGCAGTTAATGTCTTATGGTGATGAAGATGATGATTCCGAGGAAAACAGTGATGGATCCTAGAATAACAACGCCAATGCAAATGGACTTCGAAAACCATCCTGGCCCTTATGAGTCCGATGGCTTCTATCAAGCTAGTATCAAGCATGTGTTTTGCTTTGATTCTTTTTGTTATTGTAACCGACAAGCACTTATCGAGTAAAAACAAGGTGGCAACTCCAAATTATGGCAGTGAGATTACTTGCGTTGCAGCATTTAGAATTTCAGGTTGTGAATTTGTGTTATATATTTGGTTGTAATTCGCCATTAATGTAGATTGTAGACTGTTAGTTTCCTTTTGTGTCTTGGTGAAATGGCAAAACACCGAAGCTTTTATCTCTCTCTTTTTTTTTTTTTTATAGTGAAGGAACCTTTCATTCATTTTGGTGTCAGAAGTTAATATAATAAGTAATTAATAATTTTGTATTTAGTCCCTAAATAATCTCTAACCAAAAACTCCAAATTCAACTTTATTTAAATCTCAACGGCTAGTAGGGGCCCTCAAAATGAGACCGTTACAATCCCTCCAAACTCTCCATTTTATTTAAACATACTTTAATTCAAAGCTTTCGATCCTATATATCCATTTGTTCAGCCTCACTTCAATTCAAGGCTTTGTTATAAAACCTTTTTTATTGATTTCATAGTGCAAAGCAGCATCTCTCATTTCAATGTCCGAGCAAGCGATGGAAAAGCCTTTTAGCATTTCAACTCTGCCTGAAAATGGTGGATTGGAGAATACCCCATCGCTCAGGGATCAGAAACTTGATGAGAAACCTCAAGATTCAGGAAAAATTTTGCGAGAAACATGCATGGAAATGGTGGAGCAAGCGATTGAAAAGCCTTTTAACAGTTCAACTCGGCCTGAAAATGGTGGGTTGGAGAATACCCCACCACTCCAGGACCAGAAACTTGATGAGAATCCTCAGGATTCAGGCAAAGATTTGCGAAAAACATGCACCCCGGACAGGCTTAAAGTCCCGAAAGCATTCAAGTATCCGGAAAGGTATGCAACTCTTAAGTATATATATATGTTCAAAATCATTATCAGTTTCTTGAATTTCAATGTGTAAATTGTTTCTTCTTTTACTGGTTTGTTTCAGGTATAGAAGTCCGACTGATTCTATGATGTCGCCTGTTACAAAAGGTCTACTTGCAAGAAACAGGAAAGCTGGAGGTTCACTGTTACCACCTAGTATAAATCAAACTAAGGTATTTTTCGAAGCTTATTCAAGATTTTAATCTGCTCTTGAGCCACCTTTTGCATCCAATTCAAGATTGTAATCTGTGAAGTTTTTTTTTTCAAGTTATTTATCGTGTTCTTCGATGTTGCAGATTCATGAATTGCGTGTACAAGATAATGGCCTTTCTCAGAACTGATGGTTGCTGTTTCGAGAGCTTAAAACCAGATAGATTCTTGAGCCTGCTGAATTTGTCTGAAACGGTGTTCATGCCTATAAATCACTAGCAAAAACAATGCTATACATGAGATGTAATCTTTTTCATTTTCTTTCATCTAGTTTTTGAACGTGAAATCTTATTCTAATAATAACATTAATTTTCCTTTCAACATTATAATATATCCGAATAAATAACCATAATTAGAATCAATCGATACAATAACCAGAGAATCTATTTAAAGACTTGTGTTCTCATTGAACCAAATGTTGTTAGCATGGTTAATAAATATGGTTTTGTAATTTGTTGAAGAAAATGGCCTAACATTATCATTATTCTGGTTTAAAGTCAAAACCGAACACAAAGAACCTAACCCGAAACCTTCTCTCTGCCTTCCATTTTTAGCTTTATAACTATGATGCAAATCTTAATTGTTTTCTAATCATAAATCTTCCATCTTTGAGTTTTCTAAGCAAAAGAAGGGACAGATTGCATATATCAACAAGGTTTTCAAAGGAATCTTAAGTGTGTTTATTTGCAGTTTGATTCATTTATATCGAAAAATAAGTGCTTCTGTCATAACTATGTGATGTTTTTGCATGTTGTTTTCATTTTATGATACAGAAAATGGGAACTGATGATAGAGTTCAAGTCAAATCTCCTTCAAGGAACGAAAGCTCGTCATCTTCTTCTTGTTCATCGTCATCTTCTCCGAACCGAGACCTTGAGAATTCCGAACTCATTGAGTCATCGACACCTTTAAATGTTCCATTGGCGACTACAAATGAGCAGTCCTCGGATAACAACATGCATGAAGAACAAGCACTAGCGGGTAACATACGGAATCGGATACCGTCGTCGATTTTCAGTAGTAAACCTGCAACGGACTGGAGCATTGCTTCAAACGAATCATTGTTCAGCCTTCATATTGGGACTAACAGCCTCTCCAGGGAACAATTTCTTTCCATGTATAAAACAGGAGAGTTTACCAAGTTAGACGAGCAGATCATCACCCAAGGCGGCGTGATGCCTTCACTGAAAGAACTAGAAGAGATGGCGGCGATGGAGGAAAGTGTAAGCAATGATTGTTCGGAAGCAAAAGAAACGCCCACGATGGCCGTCGGAACGAATGAAGTTGCAAAGGATGATGACCGTAGCCATGAAATGAAAGTCCCAGCTGAGGTCCATAATTTATGCACAAATAGCATCTCTGCCCTTTCTGATGAGAGCACCTTTTCCTTCGCATTCCCCGTGTAAGAAAATACCACCATTTTCTCCATTTGAAAGCTTGAATTATTTGCTTATAAGTTCCATGAATATATCATTGAAATCGTTTCAGGTTGAGTGGCACTGAAGTTGGAAGGCTGAGCTCGGTAAATATCCGCCAATGCAATCAAGAAATGAAGACACAGTCAGTAAAAGAGCAGCAAGAGCCAGAGTCAGAACCGGAGCCGGAACCGGAACCGGAACCGGAACCGAAACCGGAGCAATGTACTGAAGAATCGAAACCGCAAACTCCCGAAAACTCTACAAGTCCAAGCTGGTTTTCCTGCTTCCGCTGCTTCAGTTAAAGATGTTACATTAGTGGTGTTGAATAAAAGAAATATATGTGTTGAGCTGAAGTTAGCTGAATAACCATGTACAGAGAATCCATCTAAATTTCAAATTTTCATTTGATTTCTGATATTATTTGAGAATCCATTACCTTTTCTTTGTTTATACAGTATAATAATACATACATACATCTCATAATCAAACAATATAACGCACATAATAGAGAAAAGACAAATATATGCTATGATTTCAACCACTCAACAAAATCCTTGAATATCTTATCACAATTTCCACCTTCACCAACACTTTTGGCAACCCCTTGCTTCAGTTCAACACCTCTTGTTCTGAGATTATCATCACCAACCAATTGTTCCACCTTGCTTTTAATCTCTTCTTTTCCGATAATCCCTCTTTCGTCCCTTTTGAATCTCAATCCAACCTTCCAAACATCACAAATGTAGCTCTCGTTCAGGAACTGGTCTGCAAAGTAAGGCCAACACAAGAAGGGAACTCCATTGCTGATACCTTCCATGGAGGAATTCCACCCGCAGTGACTTATAAAGCAAGCAATCGAAGAATGTCCTAAAACTGCTCCTTGTGGTGCCCAACTTACCATCTTTCCTTGTGGTGGAACTCCATGGTTTTTTCCCTTTGTAGTGTCTTCTCTCACGACCCAAAGGAATGGCCTGTTGGTGAGCTCAAGCCCCAAAGCCAACTCTTGGAACTGGATTTCGTCTAAAACTGTGAAACTACCGAATGCAACGTATATGACTGAACCGGGCGATTGTCGGTCGAGCCACTGCAAACAAGTTGGATCCTCAGGCCAGAAATTCCCTGACAAGTTTCCGAGCCGATTGGATGCTGGAAGTGGACCTATAGGTTGGACTTTGGGAACCATGTTGAACCCTTCAGGCTCCAGTTCCAAGCATGAGTTGCAAAGTACCAAACCGGCTGTTTCAACAGATTTGTTGTTTTCCCTTAAGAAATCAAACATAATTTTTTGTGCTGAAGGAGAGTCATCCAAGTTAAGCCATACGAAATTCGTTGTGTGTACAGCAGGCGTCGTTGGTGACAACTGAAACATCTTGTCTTGAAGTGGAGTGCCTGCATAACAGATTTAAGTAATAAGCAATGAGAATTTAGTGATATACTTATTTTCATAGTTGAAACACTTACCATTTTCATCAATCAATCCGTCATCGATATGCTTTGGGATACTAAGAAGCAACACTAGCTGAAACACCGAGGCGGTCCAAAATCCCACGGTCGGAATCCCCAGCTCTGCCGCGACATCGACCGCGAACCCAATGCATAAATCGGCTATAACACACGAAATCTTATCATCATTCGATGCATTAACCTTATGAATGAACTCCTTCAACTGTCCAGGCATAACCTCGCATAGTCTTTCGTTCAACTTCCCTATCCGGTTCCTGTCTTCCCCGTCTTCCAGTCCATCAGGTACCGAAACTAGACGAAGTAAGCCGCTTTCAGCGACATTCTTGGCGCATGCACCGACCACTCTCTTGTGATTGAACTCTGTGTTAAGAAAGCTGATTTTGATGCCTTGTTCGACCAAGTTTTGGGAGAGTTCCATGAGAGGAATGACATGGCCTTGTGCTGGATATGGGATAACAAAAACATGTGGTTTCCCCATTTGCTCCTGTTAAATTTTTTTTGGTAGAAGTGAGAACCTGCAATCTGACTTATAGGAACAATTTGTGGCAACCATCCATTTCCAATGCTATCCTACTTATCCTGGCTCGTATATACATATACATATACATATACATATACATATATATATACATATACATATACATATACATATACATATACATATACATATACATATACATATACATATACATATACATATACATATACATATACATATACATATACATATACATATACATATACATATAACTTGAAACGTATTATTTAGTACAAACTGACATACATATTTTACTCTCAAATTTCCACCAATAAATCAGGTAATTAATAACTTTTACTAGCTAATTAGTTGCGAATCCCCCCCTACCTTCTGACTTCTTTCTTCTCGATCTGTGGTTTGTTCATTTCTATTTTTCTCCATTTCCGATTTTTTTAAGTGAATTTTTCGTGTATGAATTAGAAAGTTTGGATTTTTTTTGCGTATCATGTAATAGCAGGGTTTGATTTTTTTTTTCTCTGGATTTGTTTTACTTTCTATAATTTAGTCAAAGTTATGACCTTTTTTTTACTAGGCGCTATTTTTAGGGTTAAATATGTGTGAATTTGGGTTTTGTTTTTGTTGTTTGAAGTAAACTTGGGTTTCTGCTGGAAGTTTTAAGCTCAGAAATATCTGTCTTTTAGGTTTACTAGTGTGAATTCTAGAGCTTGAAAGAACTACGTGACTTTGAATAATCATGCTCAATACTGAATTGGCGATTTATCATGTCGTTGAAGTGTTAAAATTGGTAAATTGAATGCTTTAAGTTCACTTGATGCTTGTGTTTTACTCTTCGCATTTGTGTATTATGATGTGCATCTGGCCAGTAGGTAAGGAAATGTAATTGAGTTGGGTTAAGATTATAGATTTTAGCTTCGGCATCGGTGTAAGTTGAGATTGTACAAATTCCATTTCCAGTTAGAGGTTCTTGACCCGGCCATGTCGTTATCCGGTACAACATGCTAGTATCGAACTCGAGGAAGAGAAAATTTGCTGTTTCTTATCCTTTCACTGACTTGTTTAGGACAGACCTTGTGGCCTGAAAGAATGATTTAGTTTTGAAGATAGCTGCAATACACTTTATATTATCATTTCTGTTGAATGCATCGTTTAATGTTTCAGGCTCCGTAATATGGACATCTTACTGCACATAATCTTTTAGTTCTTTTACACCTTTTCCGATTTGTTGGAGCAAATTATCATCATTAAGCTTCTGATGGTCGTTTTGCAATCCATCGATGTCATTGGAAGAGTTTTGAAGGTTGTTTTTTCCCTTTTAGATGGCGTAGACCTTGCTGCTTGTATGATGGTATGTAAGCAATGGAGACACATAGCTAAAGATGATTACTTTTGGAAATGTGTACGTGCAAAGAGATGGCCTTCGGTTTGCAAACGGCCAAATCCTCCTACCGTAACCTACTATAAACTGTATCAAACGTTTTGTAAACGACAGCATCAGCGAACACTTCTCCCTCCAAGAATTTCTTTTGATGAATTGTAATTCTTCATTGACATTTGGAGTGAAGATGAATTGATTTTCTCCGAAGCTGTCCCGGGTCCTGCCCTCCAGAGAGGAATCAAGACCCCACCGGCTGGAATCTGTGACATGCTCAAATTTCATCTTGAGGATCCTGAGTACAAAATGACTTTTCCTGTTGATCCGAGGTTCACCATTCCTTGGAGCCATACTGTTAGTGTTTCGGTGCTTGTGGGGCGGAAGGATCCAAATAAAATTGCTTGTATAATTGATAAATCACTGTTTGATTACATAGATCGTACAGCTTCGAGGGCTGTAGCTTACGACTTCCTTGTCTTCTCTCCCAATTATCCCTTTATCTCAGGAATCCGGGCATGGATCTCCTTGCTTTTCGCAGAAGATGGAAATGACGGTGTCATGGATGTTTTGGGCATTGAGCTGGACTTATGTGATGCTGCCAATTCTAAAGAAGATGTATTGTGGCTATTAGACATGCTTGACTGGAACTGAACGGTGGAAAGCTCGGTCTCCAGGATCCGGCACAGAGAAGAAGATGAACTAGAGATGTGATAATAATATGTTCATCAGCCTTCACTATACTTTTCATGGTCGATTCTTTCAACGTATGTTATTCGGATTCGGAAGATCATCGGAGGTTCCGTATTCATGTGTGCGATCAAATCCCCTTGCATTCCTGGCTCAAGTGATATCATTTTCTTGCATGTTCATAAGCTTGTACATGAACACTGTTGTATTCATTTTAATCAATAAACACGAACAGTTCTTTGTTTTTAACTTTCTGCGCACTCATATTCTATGGATCTTATAATGCCTTTTAATGTCATTTTCAGCTTGAGTTGTGAAGCTTATAATTTCTGCGTAGACTTGTTTTAAAATAATTAATTTTCTTTTTAAAATATTTTAGATATTATTTTATTATATACATTTAAATATTAAAACATGCAAAGCATCCTAAACACAAGTTTTAGGGCAGCTAACTTAAAATAAGGAGAAAATTACTCCAAATTTAAGGACATGTAATACACAGTGATTAGAAACCATGAGCTGTTAAAAGCAGAGGGAATTTAAAACATAAACTATTAATTTGAATTTATTATAAAATATTTAAATTCATTAAAGTCAGATTAGATGGTATCTAATTTTTGTGCTCAAGTTATTTTGCATATGCAATTAATAATATTTTGTTTGGTAAATTTAAAATACAGAATGTCTTTTTTCTTTCGATTTTATCAATTTCATTAATTTAACCCTTAATTTTTTATTGGATTCCTTTTGGTCCTTAGGTTTTTATTTTAAATTTTCAAATTAATTCAAATGTACCGGAATAGTAACAATATAATTTTCTATCTTTATTAAAATAGTTAATTTATCTTTATTAAAATGTTATATCAACTTAAGGTTTATAATTTAGCGTTTTAAATTAGGGGTAATGTATAAAATGATGCAATTGAATAACTTCAAGGTTCAATTGATGAAAAATACGATAGGGTGAAAGTGGTAGATTAGATCTATTAGAGGGGTAAAAGTGTCCCTTAAGAAGAAGAAAAATAACCTTACTAAAGCAGTTATAGACAATCCCAGTTTAATAATATTTCAGAAACTTTTCATACTGCTTCGCGCTTACAATAACACTTACTATTCCAATTTTCAGACTGTGTTCATCACTTATTTGATATAACTAAGCTTCCCAGGTTCACTGAAGCAAGTTCTTGTACGCTAGCTAGGCATATAAATTCTTTATGCCGATCTCGTCATCTGGGTCAAGGACCCTTTTGGTGGTTCCATAAATAAGTGTGTCATTCATGACTGCAGAATGATATATACTATGATCAAGGCCCAGAGTATGTCCTATTTCATGCATGGCTCCAGATTGCAGGTCTAGTTGGTTCCATGCTGGAGTAGCTGCAGTGCTCCAGTTCGTGTGATCACTGTCAATTTCAAGCCTCCCATTCGGCGGTGCATAACCAAAACCGTAGTAATAGCCGGCGAGTGCAGTGAACACAATTTTAATATCAGCGGTGTCGCCCGGGTCTACCTTTTTGAACGCGAATTTAGGAACAGCACCTTCCCATTCTTTGAATGCGGCTTCCAGGGATTCGTTCACTTCTTTAGAATTCAAGCCCTGCGGCAGGACGGAACCAGGCACGATGCCGTAGGTCACCGGGAAGGTTGTCCATTTAGGGTCTCCGGGGAAGTATTTATAATCGCCGACCGTCGAGCCACCGCAACCTCCTTTCTTCCCGGTTTGCTCGTCGAGAGTTTGAAGAGATTCGGGCTTCACGGTTCTGGACTTGGCTGCAAATGGTTGCAGCACGAGGAAGATGAGAAATGTCGCTAAACCCAAACCCAAACTAAATTGATGTCATTACTTACATCATTTAATTAAAGATGTCATTGCTTACATCATTTAATTAATGATGTCATTGCTTACATCAATTTAGTTAGGTGAGAGTTAGATATTTGTTGAATTTGTAATGGTTTAAATTAGTTTATTTGTGTGGTGTAGGATTGTTCTTGAGTAGTATAAATACCCCTTCCCATTTTAGTTTTAAGCATCAAGAAAAATTAAGAGCTTCTAAGTGAGTGAAGAAGCAAAGTCTTATAAGAGTGAGTTGTAGTTCTTGTTTTCGAGTGAGAGTACTCTTGTAATATTTGTTTGAGTTTCAATAAAAGTTGTTTGTGTGAGCGTTTTATTTCCAACAAAGTGGCATCAGAGAGAGTTGGAAAGATCGAAGGTCTCGACGAGAGGAATACGCCGCCGCCAGAATTTTCTCAATCTGAGTTCTGACGCACCGCCACGCACCGCCGGAAGACTGCTGCCAGAAAATCGAGTTGACTCACCGAGTTGAGCCGATTCAGCCGAGTTGGAGCCCTTGACCGAGGTGTCCAAGTCCCTCCAAAGTTTTTTTTTTCATCGTTCCGGATTCATCCGTGCAATCGGATTTTACAAAATCTCATTATATTGAGAGATATGGCAAATGGTATGGCACCATTCCAAGTTCCGACACTCAACAACAACAACTACGACAATTGGAGTATCAAAATGAAGGCACTTCTTGGATCACAAGATGTGTGGGATATCATAGAGAAAGGCTATAATGAGCCTGCGGATGATGATGTTTTTGCTACTCTTACACCAGATCAAAAGACAACTTTGAAGGATTCAAGAAAGAGAGACAAGAAGGCTCTCTACCTCATCTATCAAGCATTAGATGATGATGGTTTTGAAAAGATTTCAAGTGCAAGCTCTAGCAAGGAAGCGTGGGAGAAGCTGCAAACCTCTTACAAAGGATCCGAGCAAGTGAAGAAGGTTCGTCTCCAAACATTAAGAGGTGAATTCGAATCCTTAAACATGAAAGCATCTGAGTCTATTTCAGATTATTTCTCAAGAGTAGTAGCTGTTTCTAATCAATTAAAAAGAAATGGTGAAAAGTTAGACGATGTGAGGATAATAGAGAAGATACTCCGTTCGTTGGATCCCAAATTTGAGCACATCGTCGTGACGATTGAAGAAACTAAAGACTTGGAAGAAATGAAGATCGAACAGCTCCAAGGATCATTGCAAGCATACGAAGAGAAGCATAAAAAGAAGCATGAGTTTACTGAACAACTCCTCAAGCTGCAACTCAAGGATATGCATGAGAGCCAACGCAATGATAGAAACCAACGTGGCCAAGGCAGAGGTAGAGGCCATGGACGAGGTGGAAGTCGAGGTCGTGGACGAGGCTGGAATTACAACAATAACAATTCCAACAACAACTATGAGAAAGGAGAAAGCTCAACACGAGGCCGTGGAAGAATTAATCCAAACTCAAAGTATGACAAATCTCAAATTCGATGTTATAATTGTCAAAAATTTGGGCATTATGCTTCAGAATGTAGAGCTCCCAACAACAAAATTGAGGAGAAGGCCAATTACGTGGAGGAAAAGACAGATGGCAAAGAAACTCTTCTTCTAGCACGAAAGGAAACTGATGGTGGCCAAGCAAATTCCTGGTATCTTGACAGTGGTGCAAGCAATCATATGTGTGGAAGGAAAGACATGTTTGTGGAGCTAGACGAGTCAGTAAGTGGAAATGTTTCGTTTGGAGATGATTCCACAATAGCAGTGAAAGGGAGAGGTAACATTCTTATCCGTTTGAAAGATGGGAGACATCAATTTATTTCAAATGTCTACTATGTGCCCAATATGAAAAGTAACATTTTAAGTTTAGGGCAACTGGTAGAGAAAGGTTATGATATTCATATGAATAATTATAATCTTTCTATAAAAGATGATAAGAATAACTTCATTGCTAAAGTGCCGATGTCAAAGAATAGAATGTTCTTGATCAACATACAAAATGATGTTGCAAAGTACCTGAAAGCTTGCTACAAAGATGCATCATGGCTTTGGCATCTTCGATTTGGGCATCTCAATTTTGGAGGTCTAGAGCTATTATCTAAGAAGGAGATGGTGAAAGGACTACCTCACATCAACCATCCTGACCAACTCTGTGAAGGGTGTCTAGTCGGGAAACAATTCAGGAAAAGCTTTCCAAAGGAGTCAGAGACAAGAGCTAAGAAGCCACTTGAGCTCATCCATACCGATATGTGTGGACCGATCAAGCCAAGTTCTCTCGGTAACAATAACTATTTTCTTCTCTTCATTGATGATTTTTCAAGAAAAACCTGGGTATATTTCTTGAAACAGAAGTCAGAAGTTTTTGAAGTATTCAAGAAGTTCAAAGCAGCAGTGGAGAGAGAAAGCGGTAGAAAGATCAAAGCCATGAGATCCGATCGAGGTGGAGAATTTACTTCCAGGGAGTTTCAAGAGTTCTGTGAAGCAAATGGAATTCGTCGACCAATGACAGTTCCTAGATCCCCCCAGCAAAATGGTGTGGCAGAAAGAAAGAATAGAACAATCCTCGACATGGCACGAAGCATGCTCAAAAGCAAGAAACTACCCAAAGAATTTTGGGCGGAAGCAGTATCGTGTGCAGTCTACTTGTCAAATCGATCTCCAACAAGAAGTGTATGGGGAAAGACACCGCAAGAGGCATGGAGTGGAAGAAAGCCTGGCATTTCCCACTTGAGAACCTTTGGAAGTATAGCCCATGTTCACGTACCAGACGAGAGAAGAACGAAGCTTGATGATAAAAGCGAGAGTTTTATCTTCATCGGCTATGATGCTAATTCGAAGGGCTACAAGTTGTACAATCCAGACAATAAGAAGTTTGTGATTAGTCGAGATGTGGTCTTCAACGAAGAAGGAGAATGGGATTTTAACTCCCATACAGATGACTTCAATTTCTTTCCTCAGTTTGAAGAAGATGAGCAGACAATGAGGGAGCAACTAGATGAATCTCAACAAGAGCTTGCAACTCCACCCACTTCACCAACATCAACCACTCAAGGAGACTCATCACCTTCATCATCGTCAAGTGGGAGTCAAAGTGAAAGAGTTGTGCAACGCACAAGAAGCCTTAGAGATCTCTATGAGGTAACTGAACGACAAGATAATCTTACATTATTTTGTCTGTTTGCCGATTGTGAACCAGTGAGCTTTCAAGAAGCGGTACAAGAAAAGAAATGGAGAGATGCGATGGACGAAGAAATCAAGGCCATCGAGAAGAATGACACATGGGAACTTACCTCACTTCCCAAGGGACATAAGGCGATAGGTGTCAAATGGGTGTACAAAACAAAGCAAAACGCCAAAGGAGAGATTGAAAGGCACAAGGCGAGGCTAGTTGCTAAAGGCTATAGTCAAAAGGCTGGAATTGACTATGATGAGGTATTTGCTCCTGTTGCTCGATTGGAGACTATCAGACTAATCATTTCTTTGGCAGCTCAAAACAAGTGGAAGATACAACAGATGGATGTAAAGTCCGCCTTCCTAAATGGAGTTCTTGAAGAGGAACTTTACATTCAGCAACCATCGGGCTATGAAGTCAAAGGGCATGAAGACAAGGTGTTGAAGTTGAAGAAGGCTCTTTACGGGCTAAAACAAGCACCAAGGGCATGGAATAGCCGAATCGACAAGTACTTCCAAGAGAATGGCTTCAACAAATGTCCCTACGAGCATGCTCTATATATCAAGATCAAAGATGAAGATATTTTGATCGTGTGCCTCTACGTGGACGATTTGATCTTCACTGGAAGCAACCCAAGCATGTTTAATGAATTCAAGGATGTGATGATGAAAGAATTCGAGATGACAGACATGGGGCTCATGGCGTACTACCTTGGCATTGAAGTTAAGCAACAAAATGATGGAATTTTCATTTCACAGGAAAGCTATGCAAAGGAGATACTGAAGAAGTTCAAGATGGAGAACTGTAAGCCAATAAGCACACCGGCAGAATACGGGATCAAGATGACCAAACATGAAGAAGGCGAAAGTGTAGATCCAACATTCTTCAAAAGTTTGGTAGGAAGTCTACGCTATCTAACTTGCACGAGACCCGATATTCTTCACGCAGTTGGATTGGTTAGTCGCTACATGGAATCCCCAACAACCACCCATTTTAAAGCCGCAAAGAGAATTCTTCGCTATCTGAAAGGTACAATTGACTTTGGCTTGTTCTATTCAGTTTCTAATGATTACAAGCTTGTTGGATATAGCGACAGTGATTGGGGTGGAGACATAGATAATCGAAGGAGCACTACTGGATTCGTATTTTTCATGGGAGATATTGCATTCACATGGATGTCAAAGAAACAACCGATTGTCACATTATCCACTTGTGAAGCGGAATATGTTGCTGCTACCTCATGTGTTTGTCATGCAATTTGGCTTAGAAATCTATTGAAGGAGATTGGTTTGATACAAGAAGAGCCTACCAAGGTTTGTGTCGACAACAAGTCAGCCATTGCCTTAGCGAAGAATCCAGTATTCCATGATCGAAGCAAGCACATTGATATTCGCTACCACTATATAAGGGAGTGTGTTGCAAGAAAAGATGTGGAAGTTGAATATGTGAAGTCACAAGATCAAGTTGCTGATATTTTTACCAAGCCACTGACCAGCGAAGACTTCTTAAGATTAAGGAACCTACTAGGGGTCACGAGATCAAGTTTAAGGGAGGGTGTTGGATCATAAACTTGATCCATTATGGGAGCCTAAACCCAAACCCAAACTAAATTGATGTCATTACTTACATCATTTAATTAAAGATGTCATTGCTTACATCATTTAATTAATGATGTCATTGCTTACATCAATTTAGTTAGGTGAGAGTTAGATATTTGTTGAATTTGTAATGGTTTAAATTAGTTTATTTGTGTGGTGTAGGATTGTTCTTGAGTAGTATAAATACCCCTTCCCATTTTAGTTTTAAGCATCAAGAAAAATTAAGAGCTTCTAAGTGAGTGAAGAAGCAAAGTCTTATAAGAGTGAGTTGTAGTTCTTGTTTTCGAGTGAGAGTACTCTTGTAATATTTGTTTGAGTTTCAATAAAAGTTGTTTGTGTGAGCGTTTTATTTCCAACACTTCCCATTCTTTGAATGCGGCTTCCAGGGATTCGTTCACTTCTTTAGAATTCAAGCCCTGCGGCAGGACGGAACCAGGCACGATGCCGTAGGTCACCGGGAAGGTTGTCCATTTAGGGTCTCCGGGGAAGTATTTATAATCGCCGACCGTCGAGCCACCGCAACCTCCTTTCTTCCCGGTTTGCTCGTCGAGAGTTTGAAGAGATTCGGGCTTCACGGTTCTGGACTTGGCTGCAAATGGTTGCAGCACGAGGAAGATGAGAAATGTCGCTAAAAGGTTATGGGTTAATTTAGCTGCCATTTGCATGCTGTGAGATGAACTGTTATTGCCTTAATGTTTAGTGTGAGTGTTTGGTGTTGGCTTTGCTACTATTTATACCCACAGTATTAGTTAGTTGGTTAGTTACTAGGTTCTGCTACTTCCATTCTAGGTTCTGGTTATGGTACACTCACTTTAATATCAGGCTTCAAGAATTAATTTTAATTTATTACAATATTTAAATTCAAAAAACAGTTTCGGTTGTATCTAATTTGCATACATAATTAATAATATATATTTATATTCGATAATTAAATTTAAAGTTGAGTTAAGTATTTATTTTGTCTGAAAACTGTAAATTTCAAATTTTTATTTAATTTATAATTTTAATTTATCAATATAACGATTATTCAAAATAAATATTATATCTATTCGAAAGTCTCACAGTCATTTGACAGTGAACATTCATATACACTTGTACGTCATGTTCGAGTCCGGGACCTCAAATGATAACAATCATCCCTTTAACCGTTAAAGTTACTTAACTTAAAAAAGGATCAAAATGATCATTTTAATAAATATTGGGAGTTATTTTTGACATTATCAAAGAAAAAAAAGTTTTAGATTACAAGAATCTCGATATTTACATTTTAAATTACGATGGTTTTATAGTTAACATTCGACCCCTGTACACTCGTTAGCAGTAAAAGGAAATATTATTCTTTCTAGAGGTCGTGGATTCAAATAGTCGTCTCTATAAGGTTTGTGTATATATTATTTATTAATTAAAAAATTAAACAAATATTATCTTATAATCACCTCAAAATTTAGTATTTCATGTCATAAAGTTAATTTTACGCTTCGTAATTCTTCGCATCTCAAATAAAATTTCTAATTTAAAAAATAATAATAAATTGCGTTAGATTTAAATCATTCACACATACACCACCATGTTACTCTACTAAAGTCATCAAAAATTAATTACATCGACATGTCATTTAGACAAAAATATCGTAAACAAACTGAGCAATTGTGCCTCCAACTTAAAGAAAGAAACTCACTTCGACCCACAGTAACATCAATCTCATTCGAATAAATTGTTGTGTACCCGTGCGAGAATTAGAAAGCAGGGAATGGAGTACAAAATTTAGAAGCAGAAATAAGAAAGAATATATTTCATTCAAAGGTTTTTAGATCCTCTCCCAGTACAACGCCAGCTCTTGTTTATGCTAAATTCCTTTTAGTGAAGGAAAAAATCAGTTTGTCTTTTTGGTGTCGTCCTCTTCCTCATTCCTCGGCGCTCTCTTAGGGTAGTTACTGCTGACTCACCATCTCTTGCCCCGTCAGCTTTCTGGTTGGTTAATTCTCCATTCCCAACATCACCTCACTTTAATGGAGGAACCTTGTCCTCAAGGTTCGAAAATCTTTCCCCTTGATTGTCATCACCATCATCGAGTAACAAGGGTAATCGAGTGATTTGCTATTGTGGCTATCCCTTGCACGGTTTAAACTGGGAAACGTGAAAAACTGGATGTATGCGGGATGATGTAGAAAGTTCGAGTTTGTAGGCAACCGGACCGATGCGTATGAGGATATGATAGGGTCCGAAGTATCTAAGACTTGACTTCTGTTGTCTTCTTAATCGTAAGGACAACTGCTGATACGGTTGTAAACGTACAAACACCCATTTTCCTTCTTCTAGCTCTACCTCACGACGATGCTTATCAGCTTGATTTTTCATACGCGTTTGAGCTTGTGTCAAATTCCCTTAACAATGCATCTCTTTCTTGCAATTCTAGATTCATTGTAAGATTGTTTGAACCGCCTTCCAAATAGTCAATGATTGTAGGTGGATCTCTTCCATATAGAGCCTTAAAAGGTGTCATTCCAGCAGATACTTGCTAGGCAGTGTTGTCTCTATTTGCCTACTGCCTGCGTTATAGCATACATTTCGTGGTGGTAAGTCGAAGCTCCTGTAACGTCCCGGATTCCGGGTTAAAAGTTTCGGGAAAACCGAGTGGGCTTAAATAAATCCATTAGCCTATAGGAAAGCTTGAAGAGAATTGACTTTGGCTTGGGCTTGGGCTTGGCCCAAAATAATGGAAATTGGAGTGTTTTAAGTAAAAGCCCAACCTTGAGGACCAATTGAGCAATTTCACCACTCAAGATTTCAAAAGTTGAAATCTTTTATGGTGATATCACCTTGCTCCATTCTCTTTTTCCTCACTCTTCCTTGTTTTCTTCCTTCGTCCTCTCCAAAAATCAGGTTTTTTTACCCCACTGACCCCGTTTGTTTTTATTTTTACTTTTCTAACACCGTTCCACCAATATTTCCAAAACTAGCACCCTTTCTGCTGAGTTGGCAAAGGCGCGTCCCCGGGGGCGCGCTTTACCCGGTTTTTTCGCTGAGTTGGATGCCACGTGTGAAAGGCGCGTCCCCGGGACGCGCCTTTGCCAACTCAGCATACACGTATTTTGTTTTATAATAAATAGTTTATTTTATTATTATTATAAATTAATAATATATTATGTAAAATGTTTCGATTATAATGTAAGAATTATCAAGTTTCGAGTATTTTTGATTTTGATTATCGATCTATTAATTTTATCAGTTAATTATTTAAATGTTATCAATCTAGTCATCTCATATCAATATTTAACGAAAATATTGATGCATAAGTTAATAAATTAGTATAATTACATATTTAATCTTCAAGACTTACATATTTTATAAAATTAGTCTTATTGAAAATTTAATTTAATAAATTTAATCCTCCAATCAGAACATGAAATGTGTCATCGTATACATAAATTTTTTAATAACTTTTAATTTGTTTAATTTAATATTTTTCTCTACTTAGAAGGTGGAATTATTATTATATTTTAAAAAAAATTATAACTAATAATATTAAATATTATATTAAATAAATATATTAAATATATTTATGTATTTAAAAGTTAAAAAAAATTATTTAGGTGTACATACATTGACAAATTATAACATTAAATTATTAGAAATAAAAACATTCATTTAAAAACTTTAATTACATAAGAGTTAACGGTTATATGATGATAACAGAGCTGGACATTTTTTTCTATTGTGCCCGATGTTTCTACAATGCCCACATCGTTTTTGTTCTGTTGACTTCTCCCGAATATCCATATCACAATGTATTCTAGTAGATTTTGGACGACCTGAGTCCCTCAATAGCAATGGATCTGGGACAATTGTAAGCCAAGTTTGAATCTCATTTGGGTCTCTTTCGTTTCCTATGGGCGGAAACTCAAATTCATATACCTTGAAAACTTGTGAAAGTTGGTATACGGGATCAACATAATTTTTGTAGTCCAAATGCGAATGTGAGCAAGCAGCAATGACATGAGAGCATGGATATTTGAGTGCTTGAAAGAAACCACAATCGCACCACCTCTCTTGCAGATTAACTCTGAAAGAGTTAGCTTCAATCCCTTGCAGCGGACGTGGCATTTCGGTTACACGAAACAATTCACGGGTGCGAGAAAAATTTGTAACTAACATCCCATTTGATGTAGCCATTTTTTTCTGTAAATCGGCTACTAGTCTTGGGTGGTAAATATGTCCGTTTTGCATCCAAGTAAGAGCTTGTCCACCGAGTTTTGCAAAGAGTTGACCCAAACGAAAATAAGTCGTTTTGACCAACGCCGTGACTGGTAAATGACGCGCCCCCTTTAAGGTTGAATTTATTGCTTCAGCCAAGTTTGTTGTCATATGACCATAGCGATACCCCCCGTCATATGCATTTGTCTACATTTCTTTGCTGATGTCCATAATGTACTCGCACCCCTTCTTATTTTTGCCAAACAGCTCTTGTAGCATCGACTCAAACCTTTGAGGTAAGAGTTCGTAACCTAAGTCATTAGGAATATGTAATAGTTAATATGAAGTATAAATAAGTAATAAGAAATTGATAGAAAAATTGGGAAAAAGTAATATACCCATCCGCACGACTAACTGACGTTCATCGTTCTTCTTGTATTTTCCGTAATAGTTTGCAGCAATATGACGGACACAATAACGATGTTGAACATGTGGAGGTCTATACATTGTACCCAAAGAGTCCATTGCTGCTTTTATCCCGGCTCCTCGGTCTGAAATAATGCATACTCGTTCCCTGGTGACAACATGTAAACGTAAATTTTTAAGGAAAAAAGCCCAAGACTCAGTGTCTTCTCCTTGAACGAGGGCAAACGCAACAGGAAGAATATTACGGTTTCCATCTTGGACCACAGCCAATAATAAAACTTGCTTGTATTTCCCATACAAGAAAGTACCATCAATTTGGACAATTGGTTTACAGTACTTGACTGCATTAATACACTGAGGGTAAGTCCAAAAGACTCGGTAAAATTGGCAGCGATCGCGAACCATTCGATCATTCACGTAATGATGTTGAGTTTCGAACTCAACAATTGTCCCGGGATTAAGTCTTTGCACAACATGAAACCAACTGGGCAGCTCGTTGTAAGAGGAATCCCATTCGCCATGAAGTTTGCAAATGACATTCTGTTTTGCCAACCACGCTTTTTTATATGAGACAGTGTACCCATATTGGGACTGTATAGCAGAAATCAACACTGCAACAGCTATATGAGAGCTTTGCTTCACAATGGGCATGATTGCTTGACAAATAATGTTGGAGTCCAAGTTGGGATGATCCTGGTTTATACCTGTTGCACAACATGTATGAGGACCGTTGTATCTGGTTAGTTCCCATAAGTTGTTCTTCCTCTTCCTCTTTGATACACGGACCATCCATTGACATCCGTTGTGACGTTGGACGCAGTAGCAGACATATTTCTCCGTGTTAGATCGATCAACTCGGGACTGAACTGAGTTACGAATATTGTAACTCTTTATTGCCATCATTGCTTCCTCCTTCGATGCGAACTCCATTCCAATATGTAAATTACCGTCATTGACTGATGATTGAAGTCCATAGTTTCCAACATCAGGAAGATCTGGAAATTCAGGCTCATACATTGCATCATAATCAGCCTCATACATATGT